ATAATGGTCAGCCACTTTTTCAAAAATGACTTGTCCTTCGGGCTTCCCTTCTTTAGACCGTACATGTATATGATATATACAAGATTGTGGGGCTCAATATAATCATAACATAAAAGTTTTCTCTCCGTGATCTTCAATTTCAATATGAAGTGTCTCCGTTGAGCAGAAGTTTACTTTCTTGTGTTCGGTTATTTTTCACTTTTGATTTATCATGATCAAGATACCTCCTCCTCTTTTCCCCGTCTCTATTATGCAAACCTGTATGCCTTTTATCCCCTTTATCCACGCCACTTAGAGGGTAAATCCCCCCTCCCCCCAAGTGCAGTGGCGTTCTCAACGAGAGGATCAGGATTATCAGCTGTGAACGACCAATTCGACGTTGCGTGTTGGTGACAAGTTTGATTGTTTACTTCAGAAGCTTGGAGTCGTCATGCGCTTAAAACATCACCGTCAATATTGACAACCTGACATTACCTTTACTTACACGTAGCAGAGCGTGTTGGATAAACAAGCTCACACAGAAACCGTAAAACACTAAAATGGACAAAAAACAGACACCCACAGTTCTTAAAAAAGAAAAAAAAGAATAGTAAAAGTACTGTGTCTGTCCTTCGTCCATTTCAGTGTTGTCGTCATTGTTTTTTTCTGTGTTAACCATTGCTCTTGTTTCCATGGATGAAAGCAGAATTAATCCCAGTTTGACTTGTCTTGGAAAGCTGACCACACTGCCGTTCTTGGAAGCCTACGTGGCCAAAGGTCAGTAGTTAGAAAAATAAAAAAAGTAAAATGATTTTATCCAGTCGATGGGGGGAACCCTGTTCAGATTCGAAATCCGCCCGTAGGCAGGCAGCGCCGCTCGGGTGGTTCTGACCTAGGTCGCTAAACTCGTCAAACACAAAGTTGGGGCGGAGAGCATGCTGATTGGACTCTCGCGACGATGGCGTCACGCGGACAAGATCTCGATCCTCCAAACTCTCTCGGTGCTCGAGATCCAGCGAGATTGTGATACAGAAAGTCGTAGCGAGCTTCATCATAGCGCGCACAAGCAACATCGTGGGTATGGTGTACACCACGTGGGGTCAGCCGATCGAACGACTGCACTGATGACGGCGCGCCCATCATCCGCGTGTCCCTACACCCCTACGCCGCATTTGAATCAATGCCATCTAGACTGTCCCTAGGCAGGGTGTGAATATTCTGAATTTTCCTGTCACAAGATCGTCGTTTGTGGAAGTTATTGGTGACGACGATGTGACGTTTCACAACTTTGGGAAGTAGTTGTTTGAGGGCAAAGTCTTCACTTCGTATCGAGGCGAAGAATAAACTTGGTGATACTGTGGAGCCGTGCGCGGTGTGCGCCTTTTTACAGTCCATCTTCCGCCACTATCAACAACGCTACCGGGGTCACACACAAGCAGTGTGTGTTGCGACGTCTGTAGTGTTTGAAAGATCTTGGGGCGACGGGGGCTGGGGCAATTGCTGCCTACCCCTTTTACACCTTTATGCCCCCTCTTTCGACGCCACCAGGGAGGGGGTGAATCGTCTCCTACTCGTCCCCTTATTTCGAAGCCCCTGCTAGGTGTTCCAACTGTGCGACGACGAGGAACAGCACAGTGTGCAATTTTCGAAATAATGGTTCTAGAGGTTCTGAAATTAAAACGGTTCGCGTTCCATGAACTCATGAGCGGCAATGGCAGACTTTCCAACGAGAGGCTCATGCTAGGGCTCGTAGTATGCAGACGCGTTGAGTGACGTCCTTGTATAGTTCCTATCCTTGCGGTCAGGGTCAGGACTATCTGTTGTGAACGACAAATTCGATGGTGCGTCTTCGAATCGATGGTGACAAGTTTGATTGTGTACGGTGGAAGTTTGGAGCCATCGTGTTCTTAAAACATCGCCATCAATATTGACAGCCCTGCATTACTCTTGTTTCCATCGATGAAAGCAGAATTAGTCTGTTTTGCTAATCTTGGCAAGACGACCACACCGACGCTTTTGGTAGCCTAAGTGGCCATTAGTCACTACTTATAAAAAAAAAAAAAAACAGTAAAGAAATTTTATCCCGCCGATGGAGGCGGGGACAGCTGCTCTGAAGCGAAATCTGCCCAAAAACGGCCAACGCTTCTCGGCTGGTTCGGACCTAACCAGCTACACATTGATCATATACAAAAAGTAGACAGAAATAAAAGAAACAGCAGGAACGTTTTTCAGTAAATTCTGCTTTATCGGCAGAAATAATAGCGATAACAGACAGTCAACTTTGACAGTGTTGATTTTAAAATGCATCAAACATGTTAATCGCAGCTGATAATCTTTGTTGTGACGTCGCACGTATGAACCACGGTCGTCTCCGCGCGCTATCTCGTGCTGCTCTTGTCCGGCGCGTAGGCAGTGGTAGGAAGACCTAATAAAGCCAATCGTGGGTAGGAATTTTTCGCCCCTTTAATGAAAAACGTCTCGAAGATAAACGGATCTGCGGGTTTGTGAGAAAACTGTGGCAATCTTTCGGCTCCTCCCCCACTATGTCATAACACAAAGAATCTGTGTTTGATGAGTTTAGCGACCCAGAAGAATCAAGTCTTCACTTTTCACGCTCGCTGTATCACCTTGAACACTTTTTTTGCGTTGCGATATATTTGTAGCACGTCCATTCATCATACATGTGGCATATTGCTTATGACTATATCAGCACCAGCACTGTATTTATTCATTATATAATAATGGTGTTGGCCAATGATGTGAGAATCTGTGAAGGCCATAACGCTTGCGAATATTATTGTTTTATAAGCCGAATTCAATGAGAAAGCCGACAGGTTAATCTGTTCAACATGTCCCAGCGTTACACAAATATTAGCGGCGAGATGTTTTGGTGGCGCCCTCCTATGGTTCCCCCTTGTGACGTCATTACCTTGCGAACAACAAGTTCGATGGTGTTTGTAAATAGCATGGTGGAAGCCTGAAATCATTGCGCTCTCAAAGCAACACTTCCAACACCGTCGAAATTAAAGTTCTTTCATTCCTCTTATTTCCGTCGATGGTATACCCTTTCCGACGTCATAGTCAGCTTTTGGGCCAATCGTGGAAGGCCGACCACAGCGACGCTTTCGGTCGCGCACGTCGCCAATAGGCCTTATAAGTATTTAAGCCCATAGGGATGTCATATGCCAGAGTGTCACGTGACTTTCCGACATCACGCGACATTATGACATAACGCGAGTTTGTAACGTCACGTGACACGATGGTTTCGCGCAACTCATAAATTCACCAACAGTGACTCTCAGTCAGTTTGCCAGATTAAAATGGTTAGCGTGCCAAATGTGAAAAATAAAAAAACCTTCGGTTTTATAGCTGCAACATTCAGATATGAAAGAGTGAATATTTATAGGTCCTAACACCGAGGTTCTATTCCAGGCACGAGTGGCTGCGTACCATTTTGCGGTGCAAGCAAATGCGGGCCCTCTCCTAATAACACCGTATCACACCATGAAATACCACATGACCCACTCGAGCGAGCAAGGTGGCTCGAAACGACCAAGAGAGACCAACCCCGTACCAAAGTAGACACCATCATTTGGAGTGTTTAACTTCAATAAACAGGCATTGTAAATGGTACGGAGAACCCAGCCTCGCGAGGTTCGATTTTGATTCACTGCATATTTGCAACATACAGTGCTTTTTACACTAACAAGTTACATATTATTTTCTAATAAACAGCTTGCCTTCAGGGTGAAATCCAACCAACCTTAGGTGTCTACTTCTTGTCATTGCAGGCACACAGTCTTGCTGGCATTTCCCCCAAGTCTTATAGTTACAAAAAGCCTGCATCGCTGTGAAGCATTTTAGCGGGGAGTACAATTCATAAAGGGTTCATAGACAAAAATTTATCAAAACACAACTATAGGGTGTTTTCACTGATGTAATTTCGTCCCCCATTTTGTTGTTGTGGACTGCCTGGCATGCTGAAGGTGAGCATTCCAAGGATTTTCAATATTCCTTATATGCATAGAGCACAGAAGCTTACAATTCTTACAAGGCTGACATCTCTTCAACAGGTTGCCATGTAATCCTTCAAATAAGTAATTTTGCTTAAAAAAAAAAAAACAAAATTGCAGATTGACGTCATGTGAAAAAACTATAATGAAAAAGACTGGTATACAAACGTATTGGCAAAATCTTTCGGTTTTTCAATTTTCAAGACGTAAAAAACGAAGTCCGCGGATTCAGTATTTTGTCCGGTATTACCTTCTCCGTTCCAGTTCTTATAACAAATGCAGATACCGAAATTTGAGCACACATGGGGGACGAATTTATATTTTTGTGCTGGTGCCTCAAGGTCTATAATGCTTTGACTGACTTGACTCTGCTTCCTGCAAAGCAGAGTATGGTTCTCACCGCATAGTTGCATTACGAGTGCCACCACATGAAAAAGATAAGTCCTATTTGCCCGGCCCCTTCATCTGGCATGTGCTCCCTATTCACAGGCATAGCAAAGCTCATACAAGAGGCGCTGTTCCATAGCACTAATTTTACATTATGAAGCTGCTTGTAATCAGTTGGGAACAGTCTACACTTCAAAGAGCTAACCCCTGCCTCCCCCAAAGTCACTGTTTTATTGTTGCCAGTAGAGAATCAATTTGAAAAACATGGCTGTAAAGTTGTAAATTCAGTTGTAAAATTCAGTTGTAAATTCAATAAATTTGCAGAATAAATTTTTTCCGCCCAATATTTGGGTTACTATTTCAGCAATGTTTGTTTGTGTGTTTACCGAATTTTCAGGCACATCGGGGACTATGAAAAAAACGCCGGAGTACCCCCTTAAGTTGACTTGGCAGGTGGCAGCGGTTCACCCGTAAAGCATTCAACGTCTGGTAGTCCTCACTGGCTCTGGGAACACCAACAGCTTGTTTGGATCCACAATGGTGACGAGCGAGAGCAAAGACCTTCCTTCTACAGTGCTTGCCACTGCACTTGGCGAGCTCGTGCAACTGGAGCAAGGAAAGAACAGAAACTTCAGCGAGCAGTTTATTGATAAAATATAAAATCGTCTATCTCCCGCGCATATTTTATGTTACAAAGTGTCTTTATACAAAGAGTCATTTATCTGTACATAAAACTCCCAAAAATACCCAAGAAAAAAAAAAAAAAAGACCTTGATCTGACTAGTGGATTTGAGGGGCAGAACCGAGAAAAGGAAGTTCTCTCCCGTTCGGTATCTGTCCACAGTACAGACAGGTCTAGAGTTTGTCAAAATGATAAAAATGGCTGTCGCGATGCATTCAAAGAGTCGACGCTTCGACGGTCGTGTCGGCATTGTCCACGACCCACGGGTGTGCCAGCACTTCGTCCAACGATGCTCGTTCCTTCGGGACCTTCTTCAGGAGCTGCGATTAAAAAGACATCAAAAGCTATAGATTCTTACTGCAGAATGAAGTGTGGGACAAGCCTGCTACATATTTCAGGAGACTGCAAATAAAAAACGTAGCCATAAAAAAAAAAAAAAAAAAGAGCAATAACTTTTGGAGTTTTATTTTAGCGACGGTGAAAGCGAGACCTTTCTTGGCTGCCGATTGGACATAATGCCACAGCTTGCGCGTAATCAACCAATGTGAGATTTTTTACCAATTTTTCGAGTTCACATTGGGGCAATATTTTGGTGAGAACATCTCGCCAACATACAAAGAGAGAGGCTTGCGGCCTCTGATGTGTTTGTCCTTGAAACTCCTTCATTCACCGGTTGATGTCAGCTTGTATACAGCGGCAGAACTTGAGATTTGCTAAAGCTTAAATTGTCAATGGCTTCCAACGTCAAATAGCGGACGATCACAATTTCAGTCTATATCCGATCTCACTTCACCGCAGCACTCGGTTTGCAGAAGACTATCAACTTTTGTGTTAGGAAACAAGTACTGTGTTGTTTCGATTTATTTCTTTCTTTGAATGGTGCTTCGTAGCAAACAAACTGCGTTTTTCGCTCGTGTTAGCGGATGAACCGTCTACAAATGCTATGTTCTCTCGTCGAGAGGCAAATTAAGTCTCACTCTCGCGATGACCAAAATCTGATCCCTGGGGAGGCAATGGGTGAGAGAGCAGGCAACTCTTGTCCAACAATATATTCCATGTCAACTTTCATAAAGTACAGTGCTTATTCAAATATGAGTACACTATTTCTTCCCACAGCACCGTTCATGATGTTTTGGGTCGATGTATAATCACAACTAAAGAATGTTGGCCTGTAAGAGGGAGCAAGACTTCTAAACACATGAAGCTTCCCTAGAGACTACTCAGGGATGCATAACTACGAGCCAAATATGAGCAATGGTAGGGTTTACAAGGCACGCGGGCTACGGTGATGCCTTACCACCTTCACAAAAATAATTTACATATGTTGCGGAATTTGTTTCTATCAGATTCATGGGCAGAGTGCAAGCCAATGAATTGCAGTTGGCAATGGAAAGGGAAAGCAGGGAGTTAAAAATTTGTCAGTTCTGAAAAAGGAAGGCAGAACCTTGAGGTGATGATCGAGGCACTTGGAAATGTAGGATGGGTCTTGGAGATGTAGACTGAAATCCAAAATTGAATTGTAGCCTACACCTCCAAGATCCCTCGGGGATCTCTTGACATGCAACCGAAAGCTCAGTTACAGTGTAGACCGCATATAACGTATGTCTCGGGAGTCGCGAAAATCCGCACTATAAGCGGTACCGCACTATAACCAAAACATCAATTTTTCAGGCCAAAATACATGCCATCAGACAACTTACCTTTGTAAAAGAATTTATTTTATGTTAGATGAAATATAAAGCTTAGTTTGAGGAAAGTCTTTATTTCAATAGACTAGTACAGTTATGTCTCAAGTGTGTCACACATTTTAAAAGGAATTAGCGGCTTTTGCCTGGCGCAGCCTTTTAACGGCGTCGCGGGTTGCGGACGGACGTTGCGAGCGTTCAGGATTGTTAACCCTAATCACTTTTCTCCGGAAATGAAAACGCATGAAAATTCGCATCATTCATACGGTACGCGCCAGTAATACCTTGAACTTGAGCAAACGCATGGAATGCGCCAAATAAGAAGTCCGGGCGATGTTCGACGACACAAATGCTTAGAAATCACCACTGTAGTCGAAGTAACAAACACGACGACACGGGAGTTTCTGCCGTCTTGAGAGCGCCGCCAGGACATCGCCGCACGAGTAGGTGGATCTTCCCTTCTAGTACGTGCTGGGTTATCATAGCGACACACAACGAAAATTCAGAGTCAAGGATAGCGCTTTTACGCAGAACGATGAGATGCACGCCGTCTACGACGACGATCACAACCGACGCCATGTTTGCGGAATAGGAGCAGCCGGCCCGCAACCGGCATGCAACGCGCGCGAACATTTCTCCTCGACCTGCGATTGGTCTGTCGTTGCGGTTTTTTGTTTCTTTGTTTCCAACGCAGCGGAGGGACGCACGCACGTGAACGACTCGTGCATGCGTCCCTCCGTCGCTATGGCAACTGAAGCCTCTCTCTTCGCTTCTCCCCGCGTTTTCGAGCAACCTCCTTGCCCCGCGAGTGCAGTTCGTGGCTCGCGCCGTCAGCGCCGTTATCTAGTGTCGCACAGGGAAGTGAGCTCGCTGCTCCGGTCGTCGGCGCGGTCGCCGGGCTGTTCCAGAAGCCTCACTATAACCGGTATTTCCCTTCGCGCGCCTGCATTTGAAGCGGTATGTAATTACATGAAGTTGTATGGGAGGTGAACCGGTGGTTTAAAAAAACCGCGTTATACCCGGCCCTGCACTATAAGCGGTTACGTTGTAAGGGGTCTATACTGTGCCCCCCCCCCCCCCCCCATGGCACCTTCTCTGCAATAAGCATCCATCTGGTTGCAGGCACCTCGGCCGGGGTTCGAACCTGCCACCTGGGGATCCGTAAGTCGGAGCTCTGCCGCGGCATCATCGAGGTGGCTCATGTTTTCTCCGAAACTCGGACGATGAATAGTAGGTGCCAGGAAAAAAAGATAAGGCTGGCAATTTTAACACAGTGTGTTCGAAGGCGCAGAGCAACGATTTTTGGAATTCGGCCGATTAACTTCGGGAATTAATGTGTCATTTATGGAATAAAAAACACAGTGATGTGATTGGCCTAAGCCATTTTGGAGCACCTTTTGCAGCAGCCAAAACAGTTCTTTGGAGCAGCACAAGTGGCTTTTGGAGCAGCCCAAACAGTGTTTCGGAGCTAAAAAAGTGACTTTTGGAGCATATATTCTTAGAAAAATAAATATTTGTTTTAAGTGCTGGACAAACGAAGGGCACTATGTGTTGTGCTGTGATGTGACGTGTTGGGGCGGAACTCGCTGCTTGTGTTTTTGCTGCTGAGACATCCGACAAGTATACAGCGCTGTAAGCGTTGCCAAGCAATTCCGAAAAAAAAAAAAAAAAAAAAAACCGCTTGCTATTGTTTTACTGGTTCCCGAAGTGGCAGATTTTTATAAAAAGTAAGCAAATGTAAAACAATAGATTGCAAGCGTCCCGGCTAGTGCCTCTCGTGCAATCATGTTCACATGCACCTGAAGACAACTTCGGCAGGCTTGCAGTTACGTGTGCTTCGTCGCGCGAGCGGAGACAACGGCTGTTCGACCGAAAACGAAACCATGCCACTCCGCTCCGTCGCCAACTGGTTCCCAAAATAGTATGCAAAATGTAACTGTCCAGCATACGACAATAAACAGTCCAGCAGCGCGTGCTTGCCAGGCCGGCAGGCGAGGTACAGGCTAAACACACACACACACACACAAAAAAAAAGAACCTGAGCGTATCGATGCAAGACATTGCGAATCAGGGTCAAAAAGTTCTTGGGCCGCTTTGTGCAACGACTGAACTCGAGACGAACAAGCGCGGTGTGCGGATTCAGCGTGCAGACATTGCCTTGTTTGCTTTAGCTCACTTCTCGTCATCAACTTTTTTCGCGGCAGATTTTTCACGTACCGGAGTCCCTCTCGAAAGAAAGCTTATAGAGAGAAACCTAGGTAATCAAAACTTCACCAAGCAGTCATTGAGTTAAAGAGGGATTTTTATAGCATCGTATGATTTAAACAAGAGCAGGAATGTCGATGCGTTTCAGTTTAGAAAGCGCCATATCTGCAGCGACGTGGGGACGGCAACACACGACGTCGCGCAACCACGGCGACTGTGGTCGCGCGAGCGCTTCAGCTCACAAAGTAACTCTCGCCGCGCGGCAGGTCTGGCACTCGGCACACTAACATCGGAGCGTCCGCACATGCCAGTGTCTATCGCTAAACAAATAAAAAAAAATAAAAAAGTAAAAAAGACGCCAGACGAGATTCCGGAGACGACGAGAGCGCGAAACGCGAGACGACGGGAAAAATCATGCCAGACCGAATAGACGATTGATGCAGGGTACTTTGTGTCCGGCGGCGTCTTTTGTGCCACCAAGCTCATGCATGCTCAATTACGGTTCTCAGTTTAGTTTCGTTTTTGAAAGGCGACCAAAATTGGTCCTTTGGCGCAGGCTTGGCGCAGATTAGCCATATTTTGGCGTAATGTAGCAGGATGTAGCAGGGTTAGCCCCTTGGCGCAGTTTGGCGCAATTGGCGCAGCAATCACATCACTGAAAACAGAACACTGCTCCCTTGCGCGTGCTAGTTTTGATTTTAAAAAATGAAACAAATAGAAGGTCAAAGTGCCTCAACTCTCAGGTTGTCTTTCGAGTGACATGCTCTGGGGGACCGTTGAATTCTCTCTTCCGTTCCCCCAGCCGCTTCCCTCCACGACTGTCGACTTTTCAAGGATTAGCATCGCCGAAGGTCAAAGCGGGTAATTGACACAGAAGGCGGTTCGCTACGGGACTGACAGCGGGGTGCAGCAGCGGAGGGGGACAGGTCTTGTCAACTTCCGCTGTCCCCCAGAAGGTGTTTTACCGTAGTTCCCATAATGGCCATGCGCGGCCACAGATCGAAAAATAATTCAATTTTTTCCTTTGCAATGACGTAGCCAAATAGCAGTATTTTTTGTCACTTGTGCTAGATAAACAATAGAAAAAATACAAACCGCAAATCATTCCAACATTAAAATCGTCGCAGTACCCTTTTAAGGGTTGGGATCGCAGAGGACAGGGTGTGTAACGCTTCCTTCAAAGGACAATCCATACAAAAGAGTGGCAAATCAAGAACGAAATTCCAAATGCACCTTAACGAGGATCAAACCCACGACTGCGAGATTGACATTCCGCCACTGCGTCAATTAGTGGGTAGATACCAGGCCAGTTGGCTTTGTTTCTTCCATTGTGGTTAGTTACCAACTGCCCGAATGCAAACAACAATCACCAGCCTTCGAAAAGTTTACGGCAAGAAATAGGAAATCCAAGATGTTCCCACCCTGATATAAAAAAACACCGAGTTTGGAACAAAATAACACTCCATAATGAAAGAAAGAAAACTGCAATGTCCACCAAACCCCAAAGAATGCTGCAGAAACACGTTATGTGCACACCGACTTATCCATAGGATCGAGATAAATCGAGCATAATCTCGCCCGTCCTGATTATTGCTTCCATTATCTGGTAGTCTTGGATCTTTTGCATGAAACCTTTCGCGAGAACCAACTCGACCCTGGCCCCACCTTGCCGATGAGGTCCCTAGCCGGCGGGCAGACGTGATCCGGGAAGTGAAGATCCACGGCACGGATGCGACCGTAGGTGGCCTGGGTAGACTTGGACTCGAAGGGCGGGTTGCCCACCAGGAACTCGTAGGTGAGCACGCCCAGGGCCCACAGGTCCACCCGCTCGTCGTACACGCTGTTCTCCACCATCTCGGGCGGCAGGTAGTCCAGGGTGCCGCACATGGTCACCCGCCTGCGACGGAGGGGCGCCGCACAATCGGGACGTCTGCCGTGGCGCAACTACGCCGTCCGGTTAGCTGTGCCATCGCACATATAGAACCTATGTAAAAGTGACAACTAAACGGAAGGATCTACAAAAAATATAAGCTTATAGAGTCACCCATATACATCTTCCAGGGGCAAGAGAGGTGAAACAAGTTTTGGAGCAAATTTTGGAGTAGAAAAATCTGGATTTTGGAGCAGCTTTGGAGCACAAACTTTCTGTTTTGGAGCAGCAGTTTAGGCATTTTGGAGCAACTTTGCAGCATAAAATTCTACAGTTTGGAGCAGATTAGGAGCAGAAAATGTTAGAGTAGCTTATCAGCAATTTATATCATAAAAAATCCGATTTCAATCACATGAATCTGATGATTTTTTTTAATCATTATTTTTTCACACCCTGGTTCCAATAAGTCATCGGCGCCGATACGCACCAAGATAAAAATATAAAAAAAAAAGGAAAAGGCACACCCAAGTCCAATGCGCATAGATGAGGTCAAGAAACACAGGCTTGCTGCAAAGTTAGGTGGGAATCAGGTACCTCAAGCTTATACGATCTGGCGCCAAAGCACAATTGTAGTGCAAAACTTTTTAAAGTGGTCATTCGAGAGCATGAACAGGGAAGCAGGGTTTACTACAATCAGACATTGATCGGATGCTTGTAGAAAGCACGTGCAGACAGAAAAATCTCCATACGAAAGGGAGTCACAAGCTAAATACTGAATTGGTAGAAAAACTATGAGCAGCACATACACGCTAAATACGGGTGTGTGACCGGTTAATTCGATTGTTCACGCACTGAAAGGACGTGTGTGATAACCGAAAGTACTCAAGGCGACGGCGCCGTCCAGTTTGACGAGAAGATTACGGACACGAATGAACAATTACATAATGGAAGCGCTCAATGGCACTTTTAAGAAAAGGTTTACTCTCAAAACAAAAAATATACTTAGGTTTGCTCATCTTGATAGCCTGTGCGTCGTAACTCCTGCGGCCAGACAGCGAGACTGCGTGACAGCGCACCGGTAGCATGCAGTCACAAATGACAGCATAAAGTAGTAGGAAAATTGGGAAAAGACCATGTATCATATGTATAGAAGGGTATTACAGCTGAAATCTTTGAATCTGGTGGTTGCTTGCACCACCCTGTACCCGTGCCGTGTACTTTACTACAACGAGATTGAATGTTGCCAACCAAGCTCTCGTTTCCTGCTAAATCTAGCATCGCCGCAAACATATATTTTTTTTAGTTTTCGAGTTACTTTTTGTGCAGTGTGGTGCAATTTCGACCGATTTCGCATTTTCAATGCAACAAGGTGCAGAAAACTGGGTTTGTATCGAAATGGCGCAATTGGCGCAGATGTCACACCCCTGATCTTCCCACAATAACAGATACAGTGTAGACCGCATATAACGTATGTCGCGGGAGTCGCGAAAATCCGCACTATAAGCGGTACCGCGTTATAACCAAAACATCAATTTTTCAGGCCAAAATACATGCTATGAGACAACTTACCTTTGTAAAAGAATTTATTTTATGTTAGATGAAAAAGAAAGCTTAGTTTGAGGAAAGTCTTCATTTCACCAGACTAGTACAGTTCTGTCTCAAGTGTGTCACACATTTCGAAAGAAATTAGCGGCTTTTGCCAGGCGCAGCCTTTTAACGGCGTCGCGGGTTGCGGACGGACGTTGCGAGCGTTCAGTATTGGTAACCCTAATCACTTTTCTTCGGAGATGAAAACGCGTGAAAATTCGCATCCTTCATACGGTACGCGCCAGTAATACCTTGAACTTGAGCACAGGCATGAAATGCTCCAAATAAGAAATCCGGGCGATGTTCGAGGACACAAATGCTTAGAAATCACCACTGTAGTCGAAGTAAACAAACACGACGACAAGGGCGTTTCTGCCTTCTTGAGAGCGCCGCCACGACATCGCCGCATGAGTAGGTGGATCTTCCCTTCTAGTATGCGCTGGGTTATCATAGCGACACACAACGAAAATTCACAGTCGAGGATAGCGCTTTTACGCGGAACGATGAGATTAACGCCGTCTACGACGACGATCACAACCGACGCCATGTTTGCGGACAGAAGCAGCCGGCCCGCGACCGGCATGCAACGCGCGCGAACACTTCTCCTCGACCCCTGTGACAAGACCACAAACGTGAAAAATATTGCGCAACTTACAAGTACAGTGTTTGAGAATGTTCAGACCAGCCTACCGCAACGATCGAATAGTTGGAAACTGTTTTTTCAAGGTTATGTGACCAACAAAGGCTCGTGACTGCAGGGAGGGGCTATGAACCAAGGACGACTGTCCTTTCCGGTCGGCAAAGTTCACTTATCCCTCATTGCGGCCAAGTGACACCATTTCTGCCGGGGTCACCATTAGGGATGTTGCGAACCACCCTAGGTTCGAATTCGAAAGGTTTCAATATTTTCAAACCGAACTGAGGTTCCAATTCAAAAGATTTCTATATTTTCAAACTGACTGAGGTTTGAATTCGAAAAATTCTCAACTTTCGAACACCATGGATTTTCAAATTCGAAAAGTTCGAAGCTTTCACGGTTTCCAAAAAGTTTGGGTTCAAATATTTAAAAAATTTTTTACTTGAGGTTTGAGAAATTTGAAGATTTTGAACTTTCCAAACTTAAAATATTAGAGATTCTAACATTTTGAAAAAATTTTGGTATCTGAAGTTCGAAAAAATTAAAAGATTTTAAATTTCTTTAAATCTGAAGTTCAAAAAATTTGAACGCTTCGAATTTTTAGAGACAAAAAATTCGAAGGTTTCGAATTTCTTTCTGCATAAAGTTTGAAGGTTCCGATTCTCTTTTAGGGTTAAATTCGAGAAAAAAAACTTCAAAGATTTCGAATTTTTACACACCCCCCGGGAGGGTCAACTATCGAACCCTTGGCTTAAAATTAATGAAATTTACAGGGTAGGCTGGTGGCAGGGATGGGCAGTATTTCAAAAACAAGTACTATTTGAAATACGTATTTCAAATACTTTGTGTATTTTGCATTTGTATTTAATTACAAATTGGGTAATGTATTTGATGTGTGTATCTAAATACTAAAATGTGGGTATTTCAAATACAATTGTAATTAAATACAATTTTGTGGGCAAAAATACATCCCTCAAATTTATTGTCACTGTCCAGAGGAGGAAGAAAATTGCATTCTGCACTGAATGCAGTGTCTCTCAATCAAGCACAAGCATTTAATGACTTTGTGATTATGGTGCTAGTCCAGGGCAAGAATAGTGACGAAATCGACGTTCACAGGCAGACTGGCTAAACAAGTGCCTGTTACAACTTGTGATGCTTTCCAGCCTGGTTTTCATCCATATTTTTGTCTGGAACATTCTAAATGCGTGGGTCGTCCAGATTTTCGTAACTGGTGAGAGTTTCAACAATAAAACATTTTCTAGCTAGTGCTGAGTGTCTTGGTCGTCTCGGTTTGTTGGTCTATACCAAAATGTAATCGACAAAAAAAAAAAGCTGCTTGAAGCTCTTTATTTTTTTCACCTATTACGTCCAAGCTGATTACATTTTTTGTGATTATATTTCTATTGCGTTACTAGAGCTTCGCCCACTAACTCCCGAATGTGCGATGCAAAATTAAAACGAGATACCCAGAAACCCGTTGCAGGTGCCCTGAAGTCGCTGACGCAAATTTTGAGGAATGTATTTGGAAAAGTATTTGGAGGAGACCAAATACATTTGGTTGTATTTGTATCTTGTACTTAAATGTTTTTTTGGAAATGTAATTAAATTTGTAATTAAACACATTTTTGACGAAATATTTTGTATTTGTATTTCGATACATATTTGCATGTATTTTGCCCATCCCTGGCTGGTGGTCATGCTAGAGGGTGCATAACAAAGTTTCAAGTCTGTCGGTTGAGTGGGAAGGAAATTAGGGCAGCTTTTGTCAGCAACACACAGTGATGTGATTGGTCCGTGTCATTTTGGAGCAGCTCTTGGAGCAGCCAAAAGTCAATTTTGGAGCAGCAAAAATAACTTTTGTAGCATCGTTCTTATTCATGGCAATGCAGACATTGTGAACACTAATGGTTTGGCGCGTCCAACTAAAAGGCAATGTCTACGTTGCCTTCTCAGTTCTGTGCAACCCTTAGCTCGCACCAGTTGCACAGCAGGAGTGAGTCCCTCAAACACAAAACTAGCGTTTAGTTGCGTGGAGAAGCATCAGACTCGGTAAGAAGGTGAGTGAAGGACAGCACAAACTGCTGGGAATGGTAATTTTAGGTGCTGAATCTCACTGAAATAATACAATAATATAGATTCCATAAATTAATGGTTCCTTCGAGTTGTTAAGGTTGTAACAAAACAGCAATTTTAAATTCAAATAAAAAACAAAGCACTCGTCGTTTGATTATGATAGTCAATTACATTTTTTTTTGTGTACAACTTCATAACAAAAACGACATGTGAACAAAACTTTCAAAACAATCCCGCCGAGCTCATTAAGGTTGTTCCCGAGCTTCCATCCACTGTTTCTGCCAACTTAGTTCTAACTTAATCACATTTCAGGGGTGGAACTCATGAAATGTGCTTGGGAGCAGCCACGGGAGCAGCTAAAACAGCTGTTTTGGAGCAGGTTGGGAGCAGCTAAAACTACACTCTGGAGCAGGCTAGGAGCAGCTCAGATCAGTTTTCATTGCACTCCAGCTTGTGTCTTAGACAAGCACGGGAGCAATTTCAGTTGTGCTTAGCAGCCCAGATAAACATGAGTAGTTAGGGACCTAGGCAGATGGGATAACAGTGTAACAGATGCGAAAACTTGGAACTTTGTGAGCCTTGATATTTTCTGAGTGGCTTTCAGCTGCTCAAAATGCAAACCAGCACCGCTTATCGCACAGTCCACACGTCCTCGACAGAGTGATTTTATGTGCGAACCACGTGACGTGCGTAAGCAACGGACGTGCAGTCGCGCGGAAGAACAGGGAAACAAATTTCGAGTTTCTCATATTGCGCAACTCAATATCGCAACAAAATTCGAGTTTATCCTATTGTGCAACTCAATATCGAAGCAGCAGACTACGATTAACGGAGTTATCGTGTTCGAAGCGATAAGCAGGAGCAAGGTTAACGTATGCCGAGCAGATCTACCGCTCGCGTGAGAGCTGCTGGCCGGCAAGGTTTCGGATCGGACTGCGTTTCAGATCTATCAAATCACGATTTATCTTGCAGGAATGCGGTTCCAACTTCTAACGATGAAGTGCTCAAAGGAATCTTTTGCTCATTTGTTTTCAACGGGCTGACGTCCGGATCCCGGGCTTCGGAGCCTCAGGCAATCTGACGCTTAACGACTCGACCTTACCTCGACCGACTTGTTTAACCGCTTATGGTTGAAGAATAACAATCCAGAAGCAGATGGTGTAGCGCTTGGAATCCGAACCCCGAGTTTTTTTCGCACACTTCCTACTCGGGATACACAGGGAGAATAAAGAGAAAAAAAGGATTGCAAGGCCGACCAAGCTAAACGCGATCATTGTTGCCAATCGAGTCGATAGAAACCGAAACCAAGACAAAATACAATTTTTTTGGCGCACGTTTTCCAATTTGGTGCATAATGGCGCGAGGTATTGACTGTGGCGCAGTTTCCGAAACATGGCGCAGGATGGCGCAGACAAATGCGTCTGGCGCAAATGGCGCAGCCGTTCCACCCCTGCATTTATATAAAAGTGACAGCTAAACAAATCAGTTGGCATAAATAAATAAATAAATAAATAAATAAACATACGAAAGAGCGCATATAAATGTTCTTGCATTACCGAAGTATCTTCACTAAATCTTGATATGGAAATAGGTACTGCCAGGATATCATAGTCTATCATACATACGAGCCAAAGTTGTATTCAGGAACCGTGCCGCGTCTCGCTCTGGAGGACTGCTTTCCCATTAGCGCAATGGTGCGTTGCGGCGAAGCAAGACACGCAAAATCGCGATGCTTACATTGCGGTTTTCGCTTCTCTGCAGTACACCAGTGCGCGAGGAAAAGCGCACTCAACCAGACAATCTAATCCTCCAGCAGAACGGACGACGAACATGAGAATTATTGCGTAACTTCCGAGTATCGTCAGCCTTTCATACGAAATGCGATCGAATAGTACTTTATTTCAGACAATAGTCCACAGTTCTGAGAATTCGCATAAGCATATCGTAACAGCCCGGCTGAGCAGCGAGGCCTGAGCTATAATATTTTCAGTATCATTAAAGTGTAATTACGTTTTGGCGCAAAGTTCTCGCGTTTTGGTAAAATGTAGCAGGATGTAGCAGGGTAAGTACTTTGGCGCAGTTTGGCGCAAATGGCACAGCAATCAGATCACTGAACACACCTACATTGTTTAGTTAATCTATTGTTAGAAAACTACCACAATATTCAAGAGTTTTATTCGCTAGGTATGTAGCTGAATGCCTAGGAGGTGCAGCTATGAAAAGCTTTTTGTAGAAAGTCATTTATTTCTATCAATTTTCTCTTCTGCGAAATTGGTCAACTTTTTGTTGTCTTTTGTGTCTTCGACACAATGTCAACATTTTTTATAAAAGACATCCGTAAAGTGACAAAAAAAATTTCATAACTGCACTCCTTATTAAATTTCAGTCATGAAAAGTGAAGAACAAGCCTTCCCTGTGCTGCAGTGATGTGATTGGCCTAAGGCATTTTGGAGCACCTTTCGGAGCAGCCAAAACAGCGTTTTGGAGCAGCAAAAGTGGCCATTGGAGCAGCCAAAACAGTCCTTCGGAGCAGCAAAACGAGGCTTTTGGAGCAGATATTCTTAGAAAAATGAAAATAGTTGTTTTAAGTGCTGGACAGATGAAGGGCGCTTTGCTCGCTGCAATAAACAAATTATGGTCAAGTTGGACCACCGGGGAGTCTTACAACATGCTGAAATGCCAATGATACGACACATTCTGCAATGCTTCAGTGAAATGATACATATATATGTACCCACTATAAATAAATAAGAACCAAACTGCACATATTAAATTTATTTAAAAATGAGCAGCCTAGTAGTAAATATCAAAGCATAAAGTTGACTAGTTATATAATATAATAAACTGAAGCAGTTTTCAACTGATGAAACACGTAACTACTTCAGTGAAATGCGAAACTGTACACAAGAAAATGTGCAACACGACTAGCGGGTGCTTTTCCTTTTGCTTTTCAAAACTTACTGACAGGCTGCTGCAAGCCTCTCTTTGCCTCGCAGTTGGCGAAAAGCGGCTCCGATCTAGCAAAGCGCTTGCAGGGAAGCTTCAACCGTTTTCTGCAGGCACCATAAACATACACGTGTTATATCTTTTTTCAGTTTACTTTTATGGAGTTTAAACATACCGAAGAAGCGGATATAGCAAAGTGATTCCAGGTTCCCGTCAACTTTGTTATAACCGGTCTTGACAGTACGTAACTTAAAACATACTGCGCAGGAGCAAGCGATACATTACACGATTCCGCTAAATGTTCTAGAAAAGTCACACAATTTAAAACAAAGGACTAGGCCGGTGCGGTTCGAACCTCGTGTCCTCGCGTGGGAGCTGCACATGATGCCAATGCACGCCGTGCACACGGCAACTTGAGCAATGATGGTACACCGATTCCTCCAAGACAAACGGATCCCAGGGCAACATTCACTTGCTCCGAATAAATTTGGAAAAGTCAGAGACCTCGTTCGGCTCGCGTCCGTCGACCCCCGTCGCGAGACCCCTGCGTCGACAGACGAGGGCGTGTCCCACCCACCTGGATGAGGGCGCGTGCACAGACCAGCCGAAGTCCGCAATCTTGAGCTCCCCGTTGTAGCCGAGAAGCAGGTTCTCGGGCTTGATGTCCCGGTGGATCACCTTGTTGGCGTGACAATACTTGAGGGCCACACACATCTGGTAGATGTACTGCAACAAGATGTGGAGCAAGTCTCGTACTGCCGCGAACGAGGCTATGTCGTGCGCCGTGGGTCCTCGAACTGGTTTCCCTGGAACTCCAGGGTTCCTCAGATTACCCTCGCGGATTTCCTGAGCTCCGAAATTTCCTCCACCGTCCTCTCTGCACCTAGTAGCTAAAGTGTCCTCTCAACCATTATCCGAGCCGTCAACCGATGCATAGCTAGTGGCAAACCTTCCTTAGCACATGCATTTACCCGTATAAGGTTTGTAGGCTCGTCCAGTGCTTAAGCACCAAGCACTAAAATAAAAACCCAACCTCTAGTTAGATGACCCAAGAACCCTTACTGGTCTCGACTTTCCTGCATTTAAGGCGATGGAGAATCTATGGACCTTGTAAACAATGGTTTGAACCCTCCCCTTTAATGGTTTTGTTTACGTCTGTTTAACAAAGTATTTTAATTTCGCTCACATGTATTGTTGCGCCACTGCAGTGAAAGGGATGATGGCCTCATCAGGCACCTATTGCCTTTTATTGTATCAAATACATTGTCTCGTATGTATGCCTGCATGTATGTATACGTGTCACTTCCTATTATACGCTCGCTGCTTTATGCAAAAAAAGTGTTTGCGAGGCTCGCACTGCTTCTCTCAACTGTCCAGTTTTATTTCAATCGTACCATCACTACCCTTAAAGGGCAAATTTGCTCAATTCTAAAGATATCGGGATAATGAGTGATTTCTGCATTAAAAAGCCCTAGGAAAAGACGCGTCGCTTGCTTCGCGAAAAATGGGATAAATATTTTTTAACTCTAATTTTAAACACAAACAGAAATCGAAACCGAAAGATCGGCTCCGTCCGGCAACATTGGCCTCGGGTCGCCAAGGACGTGGCTATCACGTGGTGAGAGATGTCACATGATCCCCTATGCAACGACGGGCAGGATTGAGGCGGGCATGTGCCAGGCGCAAGTGTCGTCTGCACTGCACTGTTTACCACGTTTTGCTGTCTACGACATTTGACATTGTCCGCATAACTGCGGCACAGGTCTGCACAAGTAGTGTCCGTAGTGCGGACGGAACTTCGAGAGACAGTAATCACAAACGGTGAGACGACAACAGTGGTTGTGATGAGACAGACAGCAGTAACGGCGGGACCATGACGATGCGGCCGGATGGCTCTTGAAAAGCGCTCTGCACAGGCGCATTACGTCAATCACGTGAACACCGTTCAGCGTCGAGAGGAAATGTTGCCGACGTCACCCTTTACGCTTGCCCGGAGGAGTAAAAACAAGCGAAAGATGGCAATGGTACTGACGTTTAACTCAATCTTGGCTTTGCCTACGTCGTAGCCTTGACTGCGCTGTTGGTTGCACCTCAATTCGCCCACTCGAGTCAGTCACTTTCAACAACATGGCGAGTTGCAAAGTTTGCGGGACCGTTTAAGAAACATTTAGGCAAAACTATGCCTAGGTGACACTGAAGAGGACTGCATTGATTTTTTCCAAAACAAAAATTAAGCGGAGTTGCTCTTTAAGGAAACAAACGAGAAAAGACATCTTTGGCAACAGAGTTGGCACCCGACTTTCGACCCCTGTCTGTTCAAATGGGACCTGCGAGTCCCTTCTGATCTGCCCCCTCGCAGAAACTGCAGTCCGGCAAACTGCACAGGCGGTGCTTACGGTGGCGGCCCTCTTGTCGTCGAACCTCTTGGCCTTTGTGAGCTGCTTGTAGAGCTCGCCGTTGGGTGCATACTCCAGGATCAGGTAGATCCGGGTGGCGTCGTGGAACCACCCGTACAGTTTCAGGACGTGAGGGTGGCTGCGCAAGGGGACGGCTCCATCAGATAAGGGCACACGCACACATGTCCGCAAACGCTACGCAACAGACTGAGTCGCGAGAGTTACAGCATATGTCTTTTTAATACGGACACCTTGGTTGGCCCTGAAAACTGTCCACAATGCGAGGCGTCCTAAGTAACGAGACAAAATAGCACATATTTACTCACTTTGTCCCCAAAAATTCTGTCTATATGGCGGGATATTCATATAAACGGGGCCCTTATTAACTAGACATCACTGTAGAACCACTGTACAAGCTATGCTTTGGTGCAATGGCACTCTGGCCATCTTGTTGCTCAAAAAATAATTGTTGCCACTAATTTGAAGTTGAAGGAGACTGCCTTTAGTCTTCCATCCAGGAACGTTAAAACGGTTTGCGACGGAGCAACACAGCATCGCCCGAGCATCCAGACGTCGTGCCCAAAGCTCGGGAAGTCTCATTTTCTAACTGCAACTGTCGCCACGCACCGATTTCCTGCGAGACAACTGGGGAATGGAACACCGACACTGGAAGCGTAGCTTATCCGGCAGCTCTAGAGCAGGTGGTGAAGCGGGCAGCCATGGTTTAGTTTCACGAAAAAAGTGTACACAATGTTATTTCAACTTATGATTACAAGAAATGCAAGACCTTACCGTATTTGATCGAGTAATACGTAGCCGCGCTGTTTATGAACAAAGCCCGTGTGTCTTCCTTCTCGCGGAGCACAGGAATACCAAATCACCACAATTGGCAGAAAAATGGCGGTGGATTAAAGGACAGAGGTAAGGACTTCACGCAATAATGCTAGTATCTGCTCAGATCACATTTGACCTCATTATTTGCTAGAGCGTGATGATTGGCTGCATGCGTGTTCTGCAAGAAAGTAGATGCAAGGGCCTTATTCATAAGAAGTGCAGCTATTACTTGAGCAAATACGGTTCCTCAAATGTTACGCGTCGATATGGACGTATAACCAAGTTTCGGAGAGACATCGAGTACAAGAGCGTGTTTAAGACTGGTATTCTTTACGGTCAGATCTTTACTCGATCAATACAGTTAGAAAAGTAAAAAGGAGGCCTGTTCTCTATGTGAGAAAGAAAGTTTGACTCTTTCCGTCTGTCATCAGGCAGTCAAAAATAAAAACAATCCACTAACTAAAACAAAAAATATACATTTTTTTAACTTATTACCACCTTAGGTTGATATATTGCGGGCATATAAGTAAATTAGTTCTTTTGTACGCTGCTGCCACAAATTATAAATTAAGAAAAATTGATTCCTTCAATTCTGTGGAAACGCAGCCATCCCCAGATCTAGAGTGTAGAAACCAGCCGGTTAAAGCATAGTGGCAAGTGGCAGGACATATTCAGGGAGATTCTGCAAAGCGCAAGGGAGGTGCAGTGCAAAGTTTTTTTACGCGGAAGTTTTGTGGTAGTCGGCCAGGCACCACCACATCGAAAGATTGCACCAGAAGTGGCGATAATCTGGAACGTTTGCGCTATATGTAAGAAGTATTACGTACTCACCATGCCTTATGCCTTCTCACGCCAGCTAGGACAATAGTTGGCATTACTGAGCACACCACCCAAACAGAAGCAATACAGTCGGTGACAGGTTACGAATTCAGGTGAAGCTCCTCTCACCTCCTTTCCCTCTAGCAGAGCTAACACTGGAGAAAGTTGCCTTCTCTCCAGCATTCACTCTGCCTAAGTGGAAAGATGTGGGAGAGGTTTCTCCCGAACTCTGAAAGGGCCCCTAAGAAGAAAAAGCTTTTTTTTTTTAAGCAGTTTGGTTGGGACACGCGTGTCAAAAAATTATGCTTACGCAAAAAAGCTTTTTTTTAAAGCAATATTGATGGCGCAAGACGCGATATAGTCGGTAGTCACCTCCTTTCCACTTGCTTTCACTCTCAGCATTTTGGGAGCATGGAGGAGAGGTGGATCGGCTTGGCCATCATGTCGAGGTGGAGAGTATGACCATTCCGTGACGTCATGAACCTTGTACGCAGAAATTAAAATAAATCTCGCAATGTCATAATTGCTCTAAAAGATTATCTTTTTTTAAAGCAAAATTATTTTTTTGACATGTGTGTCCCCAACTAGACTTAAAAAAACAACGTTCTTTTCTTTTCAAGGGCCCTTTAACCTGTCACCAGTTAAATACTCCGTGCATGCCGCTATGGCGCAGCAGTCTCTTGTGTCATCAGCACCTCCCATGATCGGGTAAAGAACTAATGCCATGTTCCCATGCGGAAGCGGAGGCTTACGGGAGTGAGGGATTGGCCATGCGGCGCGCTTTTGCGACTCGACGTAATAAATGATACTCTAATATATTTTAAAGCAAAGCGTTTCACGCTAGAAAAGCAGCTTTACGCTGGCAATTGCATGTTTTCTGCAGCAGAGGCGGTGATTCACGCTTTGCCATCCAGTGGGTAGGCGAAATGTTTTGCAAAGGTTATTTTATGACAACCATTTGCATAGCCTGTCCTTTTAAGCACTACGTTTTACTCAGAGCATTTTTTTTTATGCCACATCGGCCTAGTAGGTAGATCTAATTCCGACCCTCTTTTACCCTCCGCTGCACCTTCCAATATCAAGGATAATGCATCTACAGAGTTCTAAATCTCGTTGTGGTGAGCGATGCGAGGCAGCTGAAATGATCTACAGAAACTCACTAATTTGTGCGCAAATTGCACTCGCAACGCCAACATGCATGAGTATAGTTGTGCCCCGAGCCTGGCTAACAATCATTACAGCCATCGTCGACGAGCCAAATAGAATCAACAAGCTTCTTGATTTCTGCTTCATGCTTTTTGATTTGTGTAACAAATCAAGAGACACAAACAATGCAAAAAAAGTGTATTTAGAATTTATTCATAAAAAAAACTGTAGAGACGTCCTAGCTGGCAGAAACAAGATGTTCATCGCACTTCACATATTTGGGGGAGGGGGAAGGGGTTAGAGACAAATTTAGGGGACCTATATTTTTCGTGCGAAGTGCCGCAGCCACGTTAAATGCCATGCCGTCAGGTTGCCCTTCCTTTTTTTACCGTAATATCCCGAGTCATCGCCCACCCCCCTACCGCCTGAAATTCAATAAAAAAGTGGGGTGGGCCATGTCTCGGTGGGTGAGCACAAACACTTAAAAAAAAAGCGGAAAAAAACGCCTATTTTTTTCTGCGTATCTAGCGCTGATGCACAAGAGATACATCAAACTCAAAACTCGATTTAGTTTCATTGTTTTATAGAAAAAAATGCTCACGAAAGAATATTTTACTATAGCAAAGTCCGTTGCTTGCATACGCGCTAGAAACACCGCCGATCTGCATGTAGCACGAACGTTTGTTCCGTGAAAGAATGTCACCACTATGTTCTCCTAGTTAGTAAAAAAAGAAAAGTCTACAAGAAAATAGAAAAACCGACCAGGCGCAACGAGGGAGCGAGCGAGTGAGCGGACCAAAGAAGCGACCAAGAGCAATGCTGGGAAAGCGGGAAAGCCGGCGGTCGCGTTGGCAAATACTTTGGCGTCGGGCCAAGTCGGGCGCCTTGTCAATTGCAAGCTCTTGCGCAACTTTCTTGTTTGGTGCGTACATATGTGCGTCCGTGCACGGCGGGCTATCAATGCACGGTTGGGACGCTCTGCAAACGTCTGTGTAGGGCGTTCCAGCAAAGCTTTATTTACGCGTTGGCTTTGCCTAAAATATTGCACAACCGCGGTCGCGACGGGCGGGAAGAAGGAGCGGGTTCGCGGTGACCTTACTTCGGCGGAGACTGACTTTGACCTAACACTCCGCGGTTACATTAACTAACTCTTATTTTGTTATCTCCATCGTTTTCTTTTCGCACAGATACACGACCACTTTGGGGTCGCTCACGGAGGAAATGCGTAAACAAAAAGAAGTGTCTTTCCCTCCTTCGTTTTACTTTGTCACGGACGTCCTCCAACTGTAAGGTCCGCGGCCGCGTCATTCGGGTAGGATGAGTGTTCGCGGATCGCAGAGTCCGCGCTGGGGTATTTGAAGGGGTGGGCGATGACTCGGTGTTTTTTCGGAAATCGATATTGGCCCAAAAAATGGGGTGGGCGATGGCTCGGGGATGGGCGATGACTCGGGATATTACGGTATATTTAGAAAGACTGATGATCTAGGTAGGCCTGTGAGGCTCATTTCGTTCTCCACAAAGTAGGCACTTTAGGACTTTTAGCATCTCCATTCACATACTGGAGCCTTGCACCAAAACGGTGGCCGGTGCCAGCTACAGGCAAATCAACATCGCAAGGCCTAGGTAAAAAAAAAGACGACACGAAGGGAGTTTGCGGGGTGGATCACACCGTGCAACCACCGAGATTCATTGCCGTCGCCACTCTGCCGGCTCCACTTCCTACAACTGCCCAATAATCGCAAGAATTCCAGAAAGGATGGCTTCTCAGCTTTATTCATTCAGACGCTAAAGCAGTCATACTCTTCAACAACAAAAAAAAAAATTAGCAGTTACTCTTTGTTTGCAATGCGGCGGACAACATATCGAAGCTTGGGAAACTCTGGCTTGCACGCAGAAACGGAGTGCCAGGAGCATACCAATAGTTTCTATTTTGACCACCAGATGGTGCCACAGGCTTTTTCTAAACACCAGCACACGGAGCGTATAGGTCTTCGCTGCAGAGGCTAGCGCCCCTGCAGTGAAGACATCTCAATGGACAAACTTCTTTGACCATTCGTCTACCTGGCGCTGAAATTTACTGCAGAGTATGAAGACGAATCGCCGACAGCAGCAGATACATACCTGAGATGCGACTGGATTTCAATTTCACGGCGAAGCTGATGCTCAACATTATTTTTTTGAAGCTGAGATTTAAACATCACCTGCAAAAGAAAACATGCACGGATGAATGTTCAGCATGTGAAGTACAGTATAAAGAAGAAACTGGGTCACTGGTTTTAAGCAACAGATGTCACTCAACATGCATCAGTGACAAAATGTTTAAGTTGGTTTAAACCCAAGTTGTCTGCGACATGTCAATTCCGAGGAACAGCTAGCTTTCAGACCTATAGAACGAGAGTCTTATGCTAGGCCTGCAACAAAAGGTCACCAACATCAGTTCACCTACTAAGTGCCAGGTCCGTTCTAAATAACCTAGAGATTTTCGACCTGCATTTTTGAAACCAGAAATTACAAAATAAAGCTGCTTACAAAATAAGCAGGTAGTGTATTTTACGGTCTACAAGTTACCCATAAGCAGGCGCTTTCACAAAAAATTTGGTATACAAGTCACACTTCTTTGTACAGAGTGTGGCTGTAAGGTCTTAGAAAATTCTAATTCCAAACATACATAGTACCTGAAGTTGGGCATGCAAACGTAGTTACCACAAGTTTTGTGTCTAGTTTTTAGAGCTCAGTTCTGAGGTAGGGAAATATTAAAAACAAAGCAAAATCGGAGGCCATGTATTTCCTATGTCCTATATCAGCCTGTTTGTCGTCTGCACACTGGTCTATGAGCTCTCTCCTGGGCGGCTTGCTGAATGCAAAAATGCTAAAAACCAACAGCAGTGACTGGCGACGAGCAAGATGATCGCAATAATTAATACTTTTAACGAAATATATGAACAATGACCACCTAGGAGCAAGCTCACTAAAAAGCGTGCAGACGACAAAGATCCTGTGTGGGGCATAGGAAATGCATGGCCGCCGTTTTTGCTCCATTTTCAATATTTTACCACCTTTGGTTTCTTAAAACAGAATCCGCTACCAAAATGTTTAAGCAACTTCAAGAGACTGGTGTGTGGTTCTGCACCAAAAGGGAGAGAGGAGAAGACTGAACATTTTGCAGGAACACGTCAATCAAATCCGCAAAGAGTTTTCATGGAGCCCACGAAAATCAACTGGGCAAGTCACTTGCGCAGCAAAAAACCTTGAGCTACACTTCCATATTTCATAAGCGGTGCCATTTCATTGTTTCCAGTTTGAAAATGTTTGGCCAGGGAACCCTGTCACAATTTAGAATCTCCATGTGATGGGATATGCTACATCAATTAAATAAAGTTTCTTCTTTGCTCTATTTATTCTACCAGCATGTTTTCGAGGTAACATGTTTCGCAGAAAGTGCCTGCTGCAGCACCTACACTGTAGAAACAACCAATATAGCCAATATTGAAACAAAACCAGAAAATATCTACATCTTTTTGACGAGACAAAGGAAACCTGGCAAACATTTTTTATGTAAGCGAATCATAACCCACAGTTCCTATTTGCGGAAGTAATATATAAGCCTGACGTACCATGATTTTAGATGACCCTGATTGAAACATCACGAGCACAATATTTTACGTCACTGAGAGTTACTCCGACACACTTATTAATTTCGTTTCTTGCGGCCACCCCCAGGGTAATATTTGCGGTTTCTGGTTGGCCGCATTCGAATATGTGAAGGCACCCTAGAACATGCCCAGCCCACTTCGGTAATGGCGCCTCTTCATTTGCCTCCTATACTTCTCAATAAATGGCCAAAATTTCTCTATATATGGTTCTGGACCTGCCTACACACAGTTTTCATTTCTTGGTAAAGAACCTGTAGCGAGCTTGGTTTTTGTCACTACATTTATATTTACAATATTTACAAATGGTTGTTAGTTGCAGTGCAGAAAGCCGGCCATCGTAGAACGTCCGTGCACCACGTCACCCCGAATCTCAGTGTCTCGTGGCACCCGTCACGAATCGCGTGGCGCCGAAACACACCGCTCTAGCTGTCGTTCCTGTTGTTCTTGTAGCTCGGGGGCTACAGGTGCCCCCCCTTGGACAAGTGGCTGTAGCCACTTGAGTGGAGTTTGTTTGGTGCTCTGTGGGTGTTGGTGTTTTATGCTGATGCTTGGACGTTGGTGAATCGAAGGGGGAGAAGAAAGCCGGTTTGAGCCTGTCGATTGAGACGGTTTCGCGTTTACCTCGGAGCAACAGGGTATAATATTTTGGTGATTTTTCCAGGACAGGAAATGGTCCATCGTACAGGTTTTGCAGAGGCTTCCGCGGTGCGTCCTTCCTGATGAAAACGTGTGTAGCCTCAGTCAGTGCATGATGTTGGAAAACCTTCGGTTGCGTTTGTTGGCGTGATAAAACTGGGCGAAGCGTTGACATTGCTTGCCTTAACTTGTGGACATAGGATGCGGGATCCACGCTGTCTGGTATGGTAGGGGGTTCGATCATGTCCGCAGGCAGGCGTAGCGGAGCACCGTAGACGAGCTCAGCCACCGTACTCCCTAGGTCAGGTTTGAGCGTTGAACGCAACCCAAGCAGCACAATAGGCAAGTTGTCGACCCGAGCATCGGGAGACGACTGCGTCAAAGTCAAATTTGGGGGTTTTACGTGCCAAACCTACGACGGGCATCTGGCACGCCTCAGTGGGGGAGACGACTGCGTGCGAAGTGCTGATTTTAGCTGCCTATGAAGGCGTTCCACGAGGCCATTTGCTGCAGGATGGTAAGCTGTTGTGCGTGTACGGGAGCAGCCGAGAAGGGACGTGAGTTGACGAAATAGAGCGGACTCAAATTGGCGTCCTCGATCGGTCCTCACCGTGGAAGGTACTCCGAAACGGCTTACCCAGGTAAATAGAAAAGCTCTGGTGACCGTCTCGGCCGTTATGTTCTCGAGCGGGTAAACTTCAGGCCATCGGGAGAAACGGTCGACGCACGTCAATAAATAGGTGAAACCGCGTGATTGTGGCAAGGGTCCGACGATGTCCACGTGCACCTGCTCAAAACGTAGTGACGGAAGTGGAAACGCTTCGAGCGGTGTTCGTGTGTGTCGCTGTACTTTGCAACGTTGGCAGGCAAGACAGGAACGTACCCAATCACGAACATTGGCCTTGACTTTGGGACAGACAAAACGGTTCGTAATAAGTTCCTGCATTGCACGGACACCAGGATGGCAAAGCGAGTGTAGCGACGTGAACACAGCACGACGTAAGTTTTCTGGGACGTAAGGTCGCGGGGTTCCCGTGGACTTGTCGCAGACGAGGGTGACACCGTGATCTGGAAAAAATACGTCCTCAGATATCAGTGAAGTGCCGGCTTCACAAATGGATGGAAGCTCGTCGTCATCTGTTTGGGCCTCTGCAAGCTCAGAATAGGTAAACTGCGTCTTCTCTGTAGCAATAGCGTTGAGGTCCAAACGAGACAGTGTATCGGCAGCAGTGTTGTCTTTTCCCTTCACGTGGCGCAAGTCGGTGGTGAACTCTGCGATGAAGGAGAGATGACGGCACTCTCGCGGGGAGTGGTTCTGGCTGGGCGACTCAATAGCATGAACGAGCGGCTTATGATCTGTCGCAATGAAAAAATTGCGTCCCTCTAGGAAATGTCGGAAATGCTTTACAGCCAAGTAGGTAGGCAGCAATTCTCTACCAAAAGTGCTGTAGCGTCTTTCAGTGTCTTGCAGCTTTTGTGAGAAGAAAGAGATGGGAGACCAAATGTTGTCAATCTTCTGCTGCAAGACGGCGCCAACAGCAGCGCTGGAAGCGTCGACCATCAGGCAAGTCAGTGCTTCAGGTGAAGGATGTACAAGCAAGGTGGCGTTTGCGAGTTCTTTCTTGACCTTCTCGAAAGCAACTGCTGCCTCAGGGGGCCAAGCCAGGGGTGACTTATCTGCAGTGGAACTGCAGAGTAGGGCTTCCAAGGGGTGTAGCAACACTGCGCACTGTGGCACAAAACGCCTGTAAAAATTGACAAGGCCAAGGAATCGTCGTAGAGCGCGTTTTGTTGTTGGAGGTGGACAGTTCAAAATAACCTGAACTTTTTCTGGAAGCGGTTTGATTCCTTGACTGTTAATTTTGTGGCCAAGAAATTCAAGTTGGGTTGCTCCGAACTGGCACTTGTCCGTGTTGATTACGATTCCATGATCGTGGAGCCTACCGAAGACTTGCTCCAAGTGGACCTTGTGCTCATCCGGGTTCGCACTGGCAATGAGGAGGTCGTCCAGGTAAGCAAAACAGAGGGGGAGACCACGGATGACTTCGTCGATGAAACGTTGGAACGTTTGGGCTGCATTATGAAGCCCAAATGACATCCGAACGTATTCAAAAAGGCCAAAAGGTGTTGTTATGGCAGTCTTCGGTATGTCAGATGGCTCAACGGGGATCTGATGGTACGCCTTGATGAGGTCGATTTTGGAATAGATTGTCGTGCCCGTCAGAAACGATGTACAGTCCTGGACATTTGGGATGGGGTAGCGGTCTGGCAGTTGTTAGTTGCAGTGCAGAAAGCCGGCCATCGTAGAACGTCCGTGCACCACGTCACCCCAAATCTCAGTGTCTCGTGGCACCCGTCACAAATCGCGTGGCGCTGAAACATACCGCTCTAGCTGTCGTTCCTGTTGTTCTTGTAGCTCGGGGGCTACAAACCATTACATCTAGGAGCTCTGTTCCCTATGAGACTGATGGGCTTAGCTACACAAATAATGTTAGCAAGGACCATCCATACCTTGAGGGCGATGATGAACTTGGTGTTTTTCTCGCGTGCCAGGTAAACATTTCCGAACTTCCCCTTGCCCAGTGGCTTGCCTACTTCAAAATCCTGCAGTGTCCATTCCGTTGTGAACCTGCAAGCAGACATGCCAAATATTAAAGGGAAGCCAAGCTTCGAGCCTCGACCAACTCCATTTACATTGTTGGCACAACATGGCCTATATTACTCTCACACCATATAACACTTGGTTATCATCATCATTAACACCAAGGCCAACTCAGAGGCTGCAGGATAATACAGGCTGTCCCAAGAAAAAGTTTAGTTTTATTTGCCGCAAAAATAATCTATGCATCGCAAAACACTCATTTCCCACCTAAATGTAGCACTAACGGTCCGAACCAGATGCTAAAGTATCAGAAATAACCGTTATCTTATCCAAAAGTTACAAGAGACATTCTCAAATCTTCAATAGGTAAATGGCGGCCGACAAAGCTCTTGAATTGGTGGAGCTGAATGGTGCCAGTTACTGAAAGCGGGCAAAACGGGCCCTGATTTAACATTGAAATTTTAGAAGAGATCATCTCTAATTTTTGAGTGAGATAACTGTTAGTTATGAACCATTTGGTTCTGACTGCTAGCACGACATTTGGGTGGAGAATGAGCGTTCGGCAATGCAGTTCATTGTTGCGGTGAAAAGAACAACTTTTTTGGGGGGACACGCTGTAGAACTTTTTATACTTTGCATCAATTGATGAAACATCTATGTCATGGTCGCCCTTAGAAAATAACAAAGAAACAGCCAATATTTTTCTTCCAGCTAAACTATATTGAACAAAAAGCACTGAATTCAGCACCTATTGAATCTATGTTCCTTGTTTCTTCCGACGGAAGCATCGGAAAGAAGCTTTTGGAGATGGTGCCCTTAAAGGGGCACTGACACCCCAAAGGTCGTATTTATTTTTATTGTCTAAAACGATGCAAGTTGCAGTCATAGACACGCAAAAAAAACTGCATCGCAAAAAAAAATTTTCCCACGCGCGCGCGCGCCTTTTTATTTTTGGCGTTTGATTTTCCCGCCTCTCGCATCCTCGCTTCTTTTGATCGGCGACGTCAAAAATCAGGAAATTTAGAAGCTTTGTAGGCGACATCTCTATAACATTTAATTACGGCAATCCTAAAACATGTTTTTTAACGCAATTGCGAACGCACTACGGCCCTTCTTTTTGAAATACCAAAACTCGGGAGTTCGTTGTGGTGCCGTCTCCTGGATTTGTATCCTCCAACGGAAAACAGGCGACACCGCTCAAAACCGGTCCGCCGCAACGCCGCCGCTCACTCCTTTCCTCCTCGCTTTGGGTCGCCATGGCAACAGCAGGGAGTGGTGAAAGAAGGTCGACTCTCAGGTCTCCGCAATTTTTGACGTCAAGGCACCGGCGCGGATCGCGCGGGAACTTCGAATTCGGCATTTGGAAATTGTTTTTTTACTTCACAAATACTGAATTCCCAAATTTCAAATTTTGAGGGTAATGTCCCGGCATCGTTTTCAATCGTTTCGGATAATAAAAAAAAATATGATTTTGATGTGTCAGTGCCCCTTTAAAGGGATACTGAACTGAAATTTGGATTTCGCAAATAAGGCCGCAAAAACGTTGAATGGGACACTACAAACTCCAAGACATCACTCATCTATCGATATCTCAAATGGATGGGCATACTTTTGGAAAAGAAGGGAGCGATCAAGCGAGCGCTATGAGTCATTGTCAAAGCAAAACATGGTCCTTGGAACTGATTTCAAGTCTCGGTTCAAGAATGGAAAATCCTGGAATTCAAGCCATGTTTTGCGCTCCTGACTAATCATGTTATGGTGGATGTAATGGATGGCAACTGTCAGATCTTGAAAAACTTTGCATGAGATGTTTGAGCATTGAGGCGGAAGTCCATAGACATCAAAAAGACAAAAGACCAAGGATGATCCAGCAGACCGAGGAAACCGTGGAAATATGGTATGTGCCAAAAACAAAGGAACTTCACGCCAACCGCGGGGGAGCAACTTCTATTGACATTGGAGTCAAGATGTTGCTGTGAAGCACTCTCATCAACAATGAAAGCAAGACAGCATGCAAACCTGACAGACAAGCGTATATACATGCTTTGCACCTGACGTCATCCCGTCAGCTCTCCGGCCACCACCAGAGAAGAAGGGTAGGAGGAACTAGCCTCCCACAGGACTCTCTTGTGTTTATCAGACCCTCCCTCTTGAAAATTATAGATTAACCCTTCAATCAAAATTCGTACAAAAGCAGCTTCCCCTTTCTTGAAACGCACAATAAACCAGTATGAGCAATCACCATGAGAGTGGATACATTTGTCATGGTAATCGAACAAAATTAATGAAATAAACAATAGCTTCACACCCCTTTTTTACAGTATGTTTTTAATAAAATTGTCACATTTTATGGTTAAAGGCTGGTTAATTCCTAGGCACACCTCATACAGCATCAACACATTTGCTAGTGATTGTTCATCTTTAGGGATAAAATATCCATACCAAGGAATGCACCACTTAAATTACAAAGCGCCATACAACCCCTTAGCCGTGTTAAAAGAGGATTATATATTTCTGCCACCATGCCCCTTTTAATTAAAAAGAAGACGGCAGTGTTTGTTTTTGCTAGTGTCTATTCTCCCGGCAGCCGGGAGAATAATTTCCCCTGATATTCTACAGGCAGTTGCCTCCCATTGGCCCATGAACAGCTGAGATTAGCTTTTTTTATAATGAGCTGCCCCAGACTGTCGCCTCGAAGCGGCATGTACGGGTGGGCCCAGGTGGTTTACATTTTTGTTAAAACGTCGAAGCGGCGTAAATGCAGCGCAGGGGGGGTGGGTTAACAAATGCCCTTGTCAAGGCCTGTCCAAACAAAACACTACAAAGATTGTCAGGCGACATGACTCCAGCAAAAATCGTTCGAATTGAAGCGGACGCTTCAATTTTGACGATTTTGCAGGAGTCATGTCGCCTGACGATATTTGTGGGCAGGCCAACATCACGACTTCCCTCCTCGCATCCTCCTCCGTCACACGCCACCTGCCACAGGTTTTCTCCCGCGGCTCGTTGACCTCGCTACAGCCGTCGCTTCGGCTGGAAGGCCAGAGGTTTGGCTTGGGTGGATTTGGGAGATTTCTGCATCGAGGCGTGCGTTTCACTTCCCTCAGGGAAAAGGAATGACACCTTCGTGTCATTCCCTTTCCCATTTTTGGGACTTGAAAAAAGGCAGAGGCCTTGAGCGACTGACCGACAGCGAACAGAGTGTGTGAGTGGCTCTCCGACCCATGCGATGAGCAGATCAAGGCCGCCGTGGAGGGCACGGGCGAGATTTGACAAAAAAAAAACTTTCCCTCCAAAAAAAGCGGTTGGAAGCAGAGCATTGAACAATTTGTTGGAGTCAGTTATGCCCCTGAATAAGAAAGGTAGCAACATCTGGTCCCTCCTCCTCTGACGCGCACACCTTGCATCTTTATGTTTTTCTCTTGCGACTGTAGTGCCACCTGGATCGCTCCAAGATAGCAGACGGCCTTCCTATACTTGGTTTATACTTGGGTCAGAGCACAGTCAGAGGCTGAAAGACACGCGAATACTTGCGCACAGGCTAAAAGCGCACTGTCACAGTCTACCAGCCTTGAAGGATGTGCCCAAAGACGATGAAAGCCGTGACGTTGCACAGTCGACGTTATTTGATTGGCGACATGAGCTCATAGCATGCACTTCACTACAACAGCATAAGCATTCCTTCTCCCTCCTTGTCCCTCATGCACACTCTTATTGTTATACTTTGCTCTTTCGCGCTCGCGCGTCGACGGTAGCACCGCCTGGATCGCTCCAAGATAGAAGGCGGCATTCTTCAAAGAATGTCGCTACTTTTCCGAATGAAGGGGCTTCATTTGTATTTTCCTGTTTGGACAGGCCTTTGCACGTCCCCGTTAAAACGTCGCTGTTCGCTGGCGAATGACGTTTTAGCGAACTTGTCTAAGAAACGTGTTTCCACGAAATGCCGTGAGGATAAGAAAGTCAGTATTCTAACGGCAGTTGTCACATGATTTCAGACAGCCAATGGGAGGAGACTGACGGTCAGTGTTGTACGGAACGGCCTTCCTGGAATGCGCCCCTTTTAGGAAGAACGACGGAACGCCGCCGTTCCATTTTGCATTGGTGTAACTGGAACTCGTTACATTTTTACTAAAACAGAAAAAGGAACGACGTTCCTTTTTTTTTTTTTCTCCAGTGTGGTAATTTTTATATTATTTCTAAGAGGAAAGTTTTAAAAGTACAAAAACAATATCTTTACGAAGAGCAGGATCTCATTAACTTTTCGGTTATTTAACTTAGGGTTTATTTTGCGTGGTCCTCGCTTGATAACAGTAAGATGCAGGAAAGCTAGTGGACATTGATTTCCTTTTCAGTACCCGAGACTGCGGTACAAAAAGCAAACCTTTTAGTCAAGGGAAAAGACACAGAAAGAGGGACGTTTCAAACTCGGCTGCTTTCTTTGCTTTCACAAATCCTCATACAACCAGAAATCTAAGGCCGACTACAGCCATCACTGAACTTCCACAAAGAGACCTACAGTTACAACAAAATAACAGGTTACCAGACATTGAACGCACCCTTGTATCCCGAACATTAGTCACTGAAAAGATACAACAAAAATTAACCTTTATTCCCTCTTTCCTTCTCCCCCACCTTCAGACTGAACAACTAATATTACCTTCACAAAGAACTTGTAGTTTTCAAGACTGACCTTCCAAAAAGTCCTACCCTCCTCTTCACTTGTTTGTCTTGCGGACAGCAGCATTGAGAAGCAACAGTTGTTAAGTTCGAACAAGGAACTTTGTTAGACTGAAACGCGTGAGGTTGTTGTAAAACACTCATGCAATGTGGGGTAACAGTACATTTGGCTCGTCTGAATCGCCCACCACAAACATGAATATGGTTAAAAGCTGATATTTTCAAACGTGAACATATCAACAAATAAACCCTCCATGCTTCAGCTTGTTTTGTTCTCCTGGTGCCCTGCCATCACGGCATTCGAATTCCTATGTTCCCATTTAATGGGATAGATAAAAAAAAAAGCTTTGCTTGATCTGACTAAATATGGTAATCCGCAAAATTCAAATGTAACGTATATGTAACGACACGTTCCATTTTTTAACCGTAACGGGTTCCTTTTTTTAGATATTTATTTATTTAATCAATATACCCTCCAGCGCCCAGAGGCATTACAGAAAAGGGGGGGGGCGGGGGGAATATACAGCCAGAGGAAAACAATAAACGAACTCTAGGTTTGTGACATAAAGTTTGCTAGTGGAAAGAACAAGAAGAATAGTAAGCTTTATACAATTATTAATACATTTGACATATCAAGAGATAAGGTACAGGTGGTACAGGCACTCTTCAATAAGTCTGGAAAAAAACACATTGTTGGATAATACCATGACAAGCGAATCGGGTAGACAGTTCCATTGATGAGCGGTAAGAGGAAAAAAAGAATGGAACTAGTAACGGAAACGCGTTCCAAAAATCAGAAGAAACGAGCTTTCGTTCCTTTTTTTTTTTTTTTTTTTTTTTTTTTTGAGGAACGTGTACAACACTGCTGATGGTAGAATTTCGAGAAATTATTCTCCCCGGCTGCCTGGAGAATAGACACGATCTTTGTTTAGTAAAGAGCGACCGACGGCTGCAGCAGTAAACCTTCTAGATACGTGAAGATACCACACAAGGGCATAGTAGCGGCAACAATGAAACAATGAGATTGGTTAGTTGACGAATGTACCACTTGCTTTTTCGGTTTTGCGCCCGGTGGAAGTTCTCTTGGCGGACTCGGCGGGAAGTTCTCCTTGGAGGCCATTGTCAGGGACGAAGCACTACAAATGAGACGTTAGCGGTAGTCCTCGAAGATTTGAGTGCAAATGAAAGCACCAGCTAAGGCGGAAAAATAACACACTGTCAAAGAGAACAGTTGTAGAACCGATTAGAAGAAAGGAACACGACTGATGAACTGAACGGATGAGCGAGACACTGGCGAAGCTACGGCAGTTTTCAAATTTAAACGTTTCAAAAACAAAAAGCTCATGCTGATGGCGATTGAGGATCCCTCTTATACTGAGGTCCCGAGGCCTTAGTTTTGTACATTAGCGTCAACGCGCCTCCTCGATGAGTGACGTCTAAATATGAAAAGACCAGGTATAATTCTTCGAAGTAATAATCTTAAATTTTTATTGGAATTTACCCCATAAGTCGGTTCAGGTGCACTCTAGAACCTCTGGAAGTAGGAGACTGTCAACGGGTAGTTTCGGTTTCGGTATCGCCGGGTTGTGTATCTGTCGTCTGCTATCATCTCCGCACCGCCATTGCTTACGTCAGCGGGTCTCAAACTCGCGGACCGTGGGCCGCATGCGGCCCGCGACTCACTGGGACCCGGCCCGCAAGAAACCGGCTACGAGTCCCAATTCTCATGTCTCAAGCGCTAGAAGCAACATGCGCCATAGTGATCTCTTCTCGCCGATTCCTTTTCATTTGAAAAGTAGCTCTGTAATTTTTAACGTTTTCACATTTTATACTTATCTGTGTTCATTTGCATTTGTCTCGCTTTATCTTTTGCTTCTCGGCTTTATGTAACGTACAACAATTCCCTGAACTCTCGATCAGCAAGAGCAACTGGCAAAAATAAAGCTACAAACCCAAAATACTCGCTTAAGTATTTGTTCAGAGAGTTGTAATAAAAATCGCCGGGAAAACAAAAATCTGCTAAATTAACATTTTTTTTCTTTTTTTTTTTTTTTAGAAAAATGTTTTAAGTAAGTTGAGCAACGGAAAAAAAAAAAAATAGGGCGTCGGTGGTTGAGTGGGGTAGCGCGGCTCTACCCCACCCTTGCCCGTTTCGATCTGGATGAGCATCGTACCAGCGTGCGGTCGAGTATTGCTACTGGCTACTGCGTGACGCACGTTAAAGACCCCGGGATAGCGGTTCTACTGCACTGGCTAAATTTCTCATCTACACCTGGCAGGACAAGATCGCCCGTTGAGGCAGACTAAGTTCTAGGCTGTAAAAAATACACACACCCCAATTTTATTTTTATTTTTTTGATCGGGTTTGTGTGTTGCTGTATTGATGTTTGTATGTGCCATGTATGGGTGTGCACTCAGCTGATGCTAGTGGTATACGTAATGTATCTACATGTGTGTATAATAAAGGTGCCCGAAGCGTAATTAATGGTGGCGTGAGAAAATAAAAATATTTTTGTAGCACATGAATTGGGCAGTATCTAGCGCTACCTACCTTAGCTATTTGCAACTACTCTGATTGACCCTGCCATCCGGTACGTGGCAAGCGATTCAACCTTCTTTCACGCTTTGCGATCATTTCTGGCTACAACCAAGTAGGCTGCTTCAAATTTGCTCTTTTTAAGAGCGGCTTTTGGTTTCGCGAGTGGCTTAAGGCCCGTTCACACTCTTGCGACCGAGTACGACTGAGAGAGACGAGATCTCTTACAACTTCTTAAATGTTTCTAGAATGAGGGAACACACTGACATTGTGGCGCCATTTATGCGGTGACCCTAGAACTGCATTTCACAAAAGCGAAGGTTTTGCGGGATTTCCGAGGTCAAATATGCGTAATACCCATAGAAAGGCTCGTTTATTACATTGAGAAAAGTTTTTCGAGCCAAAAAAAAAAGGATATTGCACGAGAAATAAAAAAAAAATATGCCGAACCGCCGAGTTTACACTGCTTCCCAATAGATGGCGCCAGTGTGTTCTCTGGTTTAGGGTGCCTACATGTCTGTCAAAAGCGCGCGTGTGTATGAAGGCACTCTACTCTGGTTTCGCAAGCAGTCGCAAGAGTGTGAATGGGCCTTTACGCTTCCTCCGTGATATGCGGTTGACGGGTATCGGTTTTTTCTGACGACAAGAAGTCGTTAGCACTACAATGTTTCACATTGTAGTGCTACACTACGTTTCACAGGCACTGGCACCGTTCGAGTTTATTTATTTATTTATTTATTGTACCCTCAGGGCCCGAAGGCATTACAGAGGGGGAGAGCGTAGGCAGGGAAAATATAACAATTCAGCAATACTAAAACAAATAAAAAGTGAACAAACAGGTCAGAAATCAGCGCAAAAATGGTTATTTATGGCACTTCGAAAAAGATTAGAGTCTGTTATGGCAGCAATTAAACCGGGAAGGTGGTTCCATTCTTGAGCTGTGCGTGGTAGAAAAGATGAATGAAATGTGTTGGTTAATGAGCTTGGGACTCCAACTTTGTGCTGGTGATCTACACGAGGCGAGATGTAATAGGGGGGAGTTATGAAATGGTCGCGTAATAGGGGATTATGAAAATAAATTTTATGAAAAAGGCATAAGCGTGAAATTTTACGGCGAAGTGAAAGAGATGGTAAAGATAAATTATTCTTCATTGACGAGACACTGGCGGTGCGGTGATAGTTCGATAGAATGAAACGAGCTGATCTATTTTGAATGGATTCTAAAGCAGTGATGAGGGTAATATGATCGGGATCCCAGATGGATGCTGCATACTCAAGCTTAGGTCTTATTAATGTTTTATAGAGGACCAATTTAAGTGAAACAGGTGCTAAAGAAAAATTCCGTTTTAAATAACCCAGCATGCAGTTAGTACGATTAGTGACATATTCTATATGGGGTTTCCATGAAAGGTTAGAAGTTAAGTTAACACCAAGATACTTGTATGACGACACTTGTTCCAAGGAGTTGCCATCAAGGTAGTAAGAAGGACTCTCACTAAACTGACGGGTTACTCTCATGTGTTTACATTTACTAGTGTTTAGTTTCATTAGCCACAACTCACACCAACGAGACACAGAGTTAATATCAGACTGAAGTGTGAGCGTGTCTTGGTTACTTCGGATTTCACGGTATATTACGCAATCATCGGCATAGAGACAGACGGATGATGACATATTAACTGGTAGGTCGTTAATATAAATTAAGAATAGTAAGGGGCCTAGAACAGACCCCTGGGGAACACCAGAGTTTACTGACGCAAGTGGAGAGTTTTCATTATTGACTGTTACAAATTGCGAACGATTAGTAAGAAAAGAATGAATCCATGCAAGAACGTTAGGGTCAATGTTAAGTTTAGCAAGTTTCAATAGTAATAGTTTATGACACACTTTATCAAAAGCTTTTGCAAAATCCAAGAAGATGCAGTCCACCTGGGAGCCTTGGTCAATGAGAGAATGAATGTCGTGAGTGAAAGATAGAAGCTGAGTTTCACATGACAATGATTTACGAAATCCGTGCTGAGCTGTGGTGAAAAAATTATTCATTTCTAGGAAGTTTACAAGATGGGAAAATATGATGTGCTCGAGAAGTTTACATGGGATGCTGGTTAACGAAATGGGACGATAGTTATGAGGAGAATGTTTGTCACCAGCTTTTGGAATAGGGACCACCTTCCCCACCTTCCAGTCCGAGGGTAGGTCACCCTCTTGGAGTGACTGTTCGAATAATTTAGCAAGAATAATTGAAGAATATAACTTGGTGCTTTTAAGAAATTTTGAATTAATGCCGTCCACTCCTGAAGAAGAAGACAATTTCAGCCCATCTATAATCTTAACTATACCAATAGGGTCAACAAGAATAGCATCTATTGGTAAATAACCGGCACACACAATTGAAGGGTAGCTTATGTTACTAATATTGGAAAATGATTCAATAAACACATTATTTAGTATATTATCGCAGTCATCACTAGAGGCACTATCACTACTTGACGTTTTGAGTAAAATTGAAAAAGTGTCTTTCTTGCTGACAGTCTTCCAAAACCTTTTGGGGTCATTTATTAACATATTTGGGAGAGTATTTGAAAAAAAAATTGATTTCGCATCTGCAATCGCCTTTTTATATACTTCTGCAGACAACTGATACGCAGCCCAGCGATGCCCACACGTTGAAAACTTCGCAGCACGATATAAGCGTTTTTTTTTTATTTGATAACCGTTTTAGGGCTTTCGTAAACCATGGTGACTGGGTATTTTCGAATATATTTCTTAGTGGGACATGCTTGTTGATAAGAGAGATAAATTTCAACTTTATGATATTCCAGTTATCTTCGACAGAACGCCCCGAAGAAGTTGTTAGATACTGGTTCAAGAAAATGGCAAGGTCATTATTAATTTGCTCAAAGTTGGCCTTTCCGTAATCACGAATTTGTTTTGGCTGAAAAGTGGGTCTCTCCCAGAATGCATCGCACTCCCAGAGTGTTGCACAGAGAACTGGACTCAAACGAACCCGCTGAACACGCCGGCTCTGGAACCCGCCAGATGCCCCGAGTGCAGAAAACTGATGTTGCCGCCATCTATGCTGTAGAAAAGATACCAACCTCAAACCGAAACTAGCGTCTTTCTGTTCGGAGTGGTGGGTGGGAATGCGAGAGTGCAGTCGCTACCAACGTTTATCTACAAACATTTATCTACAACATAACTACAAACATATTTGCAATAACTTCAAGCAACTCGGCTGTCGTAGAGATAGTTACAGACAGCGTAAATTTCCGCAACCAGCTGTCTACAAAGCAGCTGGTTGCGATCTCCGTTTACACTGAAGAAAACTGATGATGCTGTCCGAGCAGACGCTTGATCCGTTTGAGCATGGTATGCGTGAATTACTGAAAGGGTACGGCTTAAACTAGTCTGTTGGAATATCCAGCAAAACTTTTCGTAGGACTTTTGATATCGATCGTCATAACAGGTGGATCAGATATTAGCCTTGTTGAGGACGTGGAGAACGAGAGCTTTCTCGAAGAAAATACGACGGGGCAAGTTATCTGACGTAGGTAAATGTTAAACACGATGATGTTGCCCAAGCCTCGGGTAAAGTCGCTATGCTTAGCTTTCTCTGATGCTTATTGTGCAGTCACAGGTTTCTGCTGGAAGAGTTTTGTCGACAAATGTTCAATTTTTCACCCGCACACCCGCCAGTTGGCTTCGGATTGTATGGTGATGGCTAAGGGATGAATTAAGGGTAGCACTGACTGGTTATCTCAGTTAATACAGTACAAAAATTAAATTATTAATTCTACTGTGATTAGAATTAGTTTATTTTAATTGCAGCTGTTCATAACATTAAAATAACCCTTTGCATAAAAAGTCCACAGAGTCGAACCCGTCGAATCTGATTAAAAGTTCGAAGGTGAAGGTTCGCCGACCAGTTCGAACCAGTCGAACCCCGAAAGTTGGGCCTAAAATCCGGTTCGACAAAAGTTCGCGACATCCCTGCTCATAACTCATACCGACTGCAGCCCTCGTGTCCACTACATGCTCAGAGTATGCAACGTTACTAGAACCACTAAGTTGGGAAACTGCCATAGAGCCTGCTCTGAAAAATTGACGCCGATCCGTACTCGAGAACCCACCTAACGGATAATGGAGATCGCAACGCCGCCATTTCTCCCGCAGAGGCCACTCGGGGAACTGCACTGCGGCTTGTTTTGGTTCGGGAGTATCGCATTCGATAGCGTCCACTGTTACTAGGGGTGTCGCGAACCGGCCGCGGTTCGAGTTCGACCAGGTTCGACTTTTTCGAACTTTTAGTGGAAAGTTCGTCGAACCTTGTATTGAGGTTCGACTCGTGTGCGCATGCGCGACAGGCTGGCCAGTTGGCTTCGGATTGGATGGTAATGGCTAAGAGATGAATTAAGTGCAGCGCTGATCGGCTATTTTAGTCAATACAGTACTAAAATTTAAGTTATTAACTTCTTCAGTGAATAGAATTAGTTTCTTTTAATTGCAGCTGTTCACACAATAAAATAACCCTTTGCATAAAAAAAGAAATTCTCCAAACCTAGACATGCTTGTATCAAGGTCTGGCCACACTGTCCACAAAGTCGAACCGGTCGAATCTGGTGAAAAGGTCGAAGGTTCGTCGAACCGGTTCGACCCAGTCGAACCCCGAAAGTTCGACCAAAAAATCTGGTTCGACAAAAGTTCGCGACACCCGTAACTGTTACTGTTCTCTTTTGGCTTTAATTGGCTATTTTGGAAGGGGTTTCAAGGACCCTTTCCGGAATTCAGTATGGCCACTTTGATCACTATCATCATCTGAAAACGGCATATGTGCTATACTAATGGCGGCCCTCTGTTTACTGATGAAGGAAGAAGTTGAAGATGCTCCTAAGCAGGTGATTCGAGGCCAATACATTCTACAGGGTGTCACAAAAGAAAATTTACACGGTCTTTTTTACCGCAAAAATAAACTAGGCATCGCCGAACACTCATTCTCCGCCCAAAGGTAGAGCTAGAGGTCACAACCAGATGCCAAAGTTTCAGCCCGATTCGATAACTTAATCAAAAGTTATTACTGATTTTCTGAAAATTTTCATGGGAAAATGGAGCCGATTTTTGCCCGTTTTCGGTTTCTGGTGCCATAGAGCCCCATGTGTTTGAAAACTCCGTCGGCCGCCATTTTCCCATTGAAATTTTTAGAAAATCACTTATAACTTTTGATTAAGTTATCGTATCGGGCTGAAACTTTGGCATCTGGTTGTGACCTCTACCACTACCTTTGGGCGGATAATGAGCGTTCGGCGATGCCTAGTTTAGTTTCGCGGTGAAAAAGACCGTGTAAAATTTCTATTGTGACACCCTGCAGATGTTAGCGCAGCGTGGAGCAAGAATTGGACGCAAAAGCTGCGTAAGCGTTCATTTCTAACTCGGTCCCAGTCAATCTGTTAGTAGCACTCACTCGGCTTCAAAGCCCCTTGATGTATAGAACTCTATCAAGGCGTCTATGTGGGTTGGCGCTTCGTTCCGACTGGCTGCATTTGTTTCGCCATCGACACTGAGATTGAAAAATAATTGTAGTGAAGTGCACATTCTCGTTTATTGTTTACCTTTAAAAGTGACGGTGCCCCATAAAATATTGCAGACCACAGAAAAAATAAACTGCCATTTGAGTCACCAGATGGCACTGAATTCCGGAAAGGGTTAGAGTGCCTTCATACACACACGCGCTTTTGCTTGAGTGGTGACATCTCAGCCATTTTACCGCCCAATCGTTTTTCTATGCATTTGGAGTGCGTGGAATACGGTGTCGCTCAGCTCGAGCGCGTAGCTTTAGCTAATGTAGAGACGCCATTTTAGCGCCCAAGTCACGCACCGAGTGCGCGAGAGCGACACGCGCTGGCACATTAAGGGCAACAATGGATGTCTTCACCCTGAGACAGACAGACATGTAGGCACCCTAGAAAGGGTCTATTATCACCGAAGTTAGGACGCGCCCAGGTCGGGACGCGCTACTTGAAATCACCGGTGAGACATGGTTGTATAAAAACAATATTAATTGTGCCACAAAACTTTGTAAACTAAAGGTTTTAGAAAACATCACGCGGCTGTCATTCTGTGTACGAGAAAAGTTCATACAAAAAGAGCTTTTTCCGCTTGTTCTTACACAAAAACATGCTTTCTAAAAACTCAAGGTGACCACAAAAACAAAGAAAAAAAAAGAAAAAGAAAGATTGAGCCGTCATCTTGTCACCTCGAGCCAGGGAGTTTCGGTACCTGGCAGGAACATTCTATGACTCTCAGTGGCCATATAAAGCACCTTTCATGTTTCAACTCGTCGCTAAAGGGTCAGACAGGAAGGTGTGTCAACGATCGTCTAAGAGAACATGCCGTGTCACTAAAGTCGTCGCCAGCAGGCCACTTTGCCATACATGCCAGAGACTGCCAGTGCTCCGCCTTGTTCGCAAAAACAAAAATCCTGAAACCTTTCGGGGAACGGCGAACTCGCGAGCTCTACGAGGCACAGGTTATTCTGTCTAGTGGGGATGCCTGCCTAAGCGCGCCGTCCCTGGCCTTGTCACCAAAAGAACTTTATTTTTTAAGTTGCGATCTTTAACTATCCTTAGCTTTTGGAATATTTTAGACGTAAACTTCCTCTTTCTTTTTTCCTTTTTATGCCGGAGTTATATGCACGTCGTCCCAGGATTTAATCGCTTTTAAAAAGTCTTTTAAGCGAGCAGCTTAAAGCTTAGCATCCTTAGCAATTCATTTTCAGGCAGTGTATGGGAGTTCTCAAGCTATAGCATATGTTTTTGCGGGTTTTCATTATGCATTTTCAAAGCATTCTTAGGGCCTTTTCCTCTTTCTATTTTTCATTAAACGTCAGTTGTTAGTTCAGCGCTCTATCCTGTCTCCTTTGTCTATCCTTTCTCGTCGTATTTGCGCTGTTAATTCAACATAATTATCATAGTTAGCTCGGTCTCGGTGGAGTCAAGCGGTCCAGGGTTCAAGGGTGAGTTTCCCAACTGAGTGTTTTAGTAACGTTGGAGTAGGTGAGCAAGCAATGGCTACCAGGCGTTGGCGCGGACATTTGCAAAGTGTCTATTGGGCTCGAACTCCAGCATGCTTCGATGCATTGAGTGGACGCGAAGGCTAGCCGAGCGGTGACGCCGCACTCAATCTGAATCTGCGCTTGATCGCACTGTGCTCTACTACTGTAGCTGGTGTTGGATCGGGCCACCGTTATTCGTGGGGTCTACGTGCCTGGGTGAATATTATTCAATATGCACTAAAAGTGCCAGAAAAGGCAGGAACACAGAGTAAAGATTGACGCCAGCACAAGGCGGATCGCGTTATCGTCAACCTTTACTCCGTGTCCAGGGACGGCCCTAAGGGTGGGCGACCTGGCGGTCGCCCAGGGGCGCCATTAAAAGGGGGGCGCCGCCGCGCCATTTTTTCAATGTGTTTTTTCTGATTTATTTGAACATGGCGCCCGACAGGACGCTATATGCTCGATCGCCATTCGTTTTTGGGATGCGTTTCTCGTCTGACAAAATGCTCGTGTAGGGCCATACTCACATGTTTACAAACAGCGTGATGGCAACAGCTAGGGGCGTATAAAGAGTGAGGTGGGGTGGGGGGGGGGGGGGGGGGGGGGGGCGCCCGGTCGGAGTTTTCCCAGGGCGCTTGATGGCGTAGGGCCGGCACTACCCTGCCCGTTTCGATCTGGATGAGCATCGGGCCGGCGTGCGGTCGTGTATCAATACTGCGTGGTGCACGTTAAAGAACCCAGGCTAACAGTTGCTGCACTGGCTAAATTGCTCATCTACAGAGATAGTCTCGTCACAACTTTGAAATGGCTGACACACTACACGCTGCATAAATATCCACACAACCCCAATTATTATTAATATTGTACTACGCGCACTCGTGTATTACCTTAGGTTCATTTCAACAGGTAAAACCGTGAATAAATAAGTAAACCATAAACGCATTATTGCACAAAACAAAATTTCGTGAAAACACACTTATTATAAAATGAAACAGAGCACAACCTGAGAGTAGTCTCAGCGAAAATACTGCCAAATTTAATGGCTAAAAAGGGAGTAAAAATAAAGGAAATAAAGCCGATGAGTTCTACGAAAAGGCCGTGGCGAAATCCCCTGACAAGGCAAGCATCACGACTAGGCATCTTTCGTAAAATAATTCGTCAGGTCAATGAGGGACGTCTCGAGTTTCCCGTTCGCAGGCCTGAGTTGGCTCACTGGCCTGAGCTGGCTCACTGGACTGTCCTGGATACAAATTACGTCGACACGCTTGTCGAGGAGCGGAGTCCAGCGTCTGTCCCCGAAGACCTGCACCGCGTCGCATTTCTCGGGCGCTCGCCGCAGCACATCCAGCATGAAGGAGTCCATTCGGAGTCCTTGCACGTCCACGTCTTTGTCGCAGACAGGGCATCGCCACAAAGGCCAAACAGTGGCTTCGTTCAACTTCAGGTAGGCCAAAGCGTCAAAGCACTGTATGTGCCGGCAGTCGGCACCACGGCAGGGTGCCACGAGCCTCGCCCTTTTTAGCGGACAGTTGAGCGACACCGTAACGCACTCCACTGTGGCGTCTTGGTCCTCCTTGACATCTGCGACTGCGGCTTGAGCTCTTGCCGCAGACACGTCATCGGCGCCACATCCATTGTCACCTAGAGAAGCGAGCAGGCCGGGTTCTTGGGTTCTGTCCACCACGATGACCTTAATGCAAAGGCCCTCGGGAATGGCATTGCCTCTGATGATGATGAAGTTGATGCCCGGCCCCACGTACCGGCTCACGTTGATGGTCTTGAGTGGTACGTCAATGAAATGATGAAAGTTGACAATCAAACCTACCTTGCACGGCGTCGCGGGCTTGGCGGACGAAATGAAACGCAGGAGCACTCGTCTCCAGTCGCTGTCGCCGTGCAAGTCTCGCTGCTGAAGTCGGAAATTGTAGGCCGTGCTGCCGTAGATGGTCGAGTGCCCTTGTACCTCGCGGCTGCTTAAAACTTGGTAAAACGGGTTAAAAAAGTGAGCGTCTTCACAATTCGTGTTGGGCGTTGCCGAACTGAACTGCTCCATGCTGCTTCTGAACTGACTGTGCATTATCGGTTGAAAAATTCCACGCAAGAACGAGTGGCGTGTCGGACTCAAAAATTGCCGGCAAGCACGAGATCCCTTCGCTGGCTTTGTCATGAAACGATTTTCCAACTTTTTCCTGTTTAGCTTTCCTCCTCAACTCATAAATCGCGCATTGTACCAAACAGTTCAAGAAGACGGAAAGGGGAGAGTCCTCTCTTGCTCGGACCCTCGTTTCTGTACCCGGACACAGCCATTGTCCCCCTAGAAGATTAGCCCGTCGCTCAAAATTCAGACAAAAGTTGCTTTCCCCACCCCGTTCACCCCGAAGCTGACAGTGCTGTGGAAGCTACGTGCCTCGTCGGGCCAGCCACACTTTTGCCACGGGATCACGCTCTCTCGCGCATACCCACGCGCAGAGAATGAGGACAGGTGATGAAAGGGAGGCGGCTGATCGGTCGGGCAAGCGCGTAGCTTTCACAGCGCTGTCAGCTTAGGGATGAAGGGGATAAGAGAGATCCGGTGTCGTGTGACGTGCCTTTGGGCCCGGTGACGCGCTTTGGGGACCGGGGAAATTCAGCTTGTGGGTCGGCGTAAGCGTTCGTGACGACAGAGCATATTTTCGTATCGAAAAAGGCAAACGTTCATGCATGACATGGTTCACATCCGCCGCGTCGGCGACGAACCTGCGCGGCAAGAATAGCGGCGACATCGAGACCCGACGTTGGAAACCGAAGGCTCGACTTCGGAAACCAGCGGTAGGCGTTGGTAGTAACCTTGCTTCGCTCTTATCAAGCGACGAGTTGAGAACGCTAAGAGAAGTACTTGCGCTTTTTACGCACTCCTGTGCAGAAGCACGATGCGAGACGTCGCATACTGCGGGCGTCGCGTAGTTGCGTCACCAAGTGTTGAGTCCCTCGCGTCACCGCGTTCACAGCGTCTCAGCCGCGACTGCGTCGATCACGTAGGCTTCCCGTCTCAAGCGTTTCTGGCTTCAGCCGCGACTGCACCGATGATCGACCGCGTACGATTCGTGCTTCAGGCGGCGGCGGGCGCCATGTTTACCTTGCCACAGCGGCGCGAGTGACGTCATGTCACGTGACAATTCGCTAACCAATAAAACAACTGGTTTCGGTTTGGAGCGGAAGTGACGTCAGGTCACGTGACATGACAAATTGCCTTGGCGGAAGTGACGTCATGTCACGTGACAAGGGGGCGTGGCCAGGTGCTGTACGGGATATGGTTTGCTTATACGCGACCGGGGATGTATCACAGTGCAAAGGCAGAGAGCTCACGAAGGGAAGGAGGTACGAAATAGTTCGCTGTGTTTTCAAATTTTCGTACCGAAAGTCAGGCTTTTGACTTTCTACCTTTTTTTCTTTTGGCCCACTGAACTATTATGCTATTAGTAAAATCCCAATCTACAGGGTGAAACAAGGAGACGCCAGGCTCTTTAAATCGACCGGAAAATTCGGTTTCTTAACCTATCGCGCTACGACTTTATGCAGCGTTGCCCACAAATTGTGCATTATTATTTTATTTTTTTTTTGGTAAAATTTGCGAAGAGCGAACTTACCCGAGGAAAAAGTAAAGAAAGAAAAAGGCTTAGCTTCTATGGAAACGCAGCGACGCGACCAGTCTGCAAACAACACGGCACCGCTTCGCACGGGAGACAAGAGATGGCGCAACGAACGCCGCCAACGCCAACGAACGAGCCTACGGCGCCGAGACGCAGGGTTGCCAGGTTGGGCTATTAATAGCCAAATTGGGCTACTTTATCATGCGTTTGGCGTCGAAATTTGGCACTTGGCTATGTGGCTATTTTTGGGCTATTTCAAATCCTAACGCGGCACCTTTTTTTTTTTGTTTTTTTGTTTAGAGTAGATGTACAAAAGACACTTCAGCATGGTCACAAACCGACAGTCCACCCTTTATGGATTCCCACTTTCAGGGATTTTTTGCGTGAAGATTCATGGGCGTGATGCCAGAACCTTTTAGCTCAAGTGAGCTGCCGTGACCAAGATTCAGCTCCGTCGACATCGCTTTTGTATAAACTGTGGCTTATTTCATGCTCCTAAGTTCTTTCTGCTTCCTACCGGCTCTCCTATTTCCTCGAATTCCCGACAGGAAGCACCTCATCCGAGAAAAAAATTATGCTAAAGGCCACTCAACTCATACTGCAGAATTTGATGTCGCCCGATAACGCGTGATGTACCGGGTATAACAAAGGAGGATTTTCCACGAAATATGGAAGTTTCTTAAAGCCCAATGAGCCATAACAAAAGACAACAGATTTGGGACAGTGAATATTCCGAATAAGGCCAAGATCAATGCGCGGGAGCAGCCCTGTTTCCGTTGCATTCCGAGCTTGCCATCGCGCTCCCGACTTTGCCCATGTCGAATGCCGCCGTGGTGAGAGTATTTAGTCACGTGTCCCTCACAAAGTCAGGTCTAAGGAACAACATATCCCTTCCATCTCTTCAAAACGCCACCTATGTAAAGTTTACTTTCCTTGGGGACGACGAGTTTTGTAGGACACCAACCCTATTGAAGACGTTTTTGCCCGTTTTAAGACGGAAATCATGTATGAGGCGAGTAAACCGGGCACGAGCGAGTGCTTCATGACTATGTGACTGCAAAAACGCGCGTGGAAAATTTTTGTAATTTTGTGTTTGAAATAAAATGTTCAATACATTTCAAGATGTCGTTACACGGGCGCTTTCAACTGCCATTGAGTCAACGACAGTTGACTCAATCGCGATCGGCCGGAGTTACACGGCGGCGCCAACTGTCATCGAGCCGCTAATGACAGTTGAGTTCAACTGAGCTCCCCTACCTCAGTTCAACTGAACGGACTTCCCCAACTGAGGTAAAATGGCGCCTGTCCGCGGGACCGCTGCCGCCGACCATCGTTTCCGAGGCACTTACTGTTTCGGAATGCAGGGGGAGGCGTCTAAAAAGAATCGTCGCAGCAAAATATCCGGGAAGGAATGGATTTAGGCGTCCGAGCGTCCGAGCTGCCGCTCAAACGATCCCGGCTAGCCAGCAAGCCACCAAACGAGCGAAGATGGCGGCGGAACCAGCTGTGTGAATGGACAGATAGTAATGGGTGCACCCATTGTAGCGGGTGGTAGCTAGCCCCACCTAGCCTAAAATATGCGCAACTTAGCCCTGAGTCTGCTTTGGTACTGATGTAAATGCCGCTAAAAAACAACAAGGTATTGAACATAATGTACGATATAGTTATAGTAAATAAAATATGTTTCTCCGAGTAGATTACTTTAACAATTAGACTGATCACGAGGCACAATAACTAGTTTCGTTTTAGCTTCAACTGGGTTCTAGAGAGCCGTGTAGCACGGGTCCCTATCATTTCGTCGAAACTCGTTTCGTGGAATTACGTTTCGTGGACAACTTTTCGTGGACACACGTTTCATGGACACACGTTTCGTCGACAGTGTGACGTTTCATCGACAATCGTTTCGTCGACAGCACCACCGTAAAACGTTTCGTCGACAAACTTTTTTGTTTTTCGGTTCCGAAAGGAATGCCGGAAACTTAAGGTACATGTAAAATAATTTAATTAAGTCTTTGTTCTTGAGTGAGAGCGATGAAAAGGACATGCTGGATCGCGAAAGGAACGGGCAGCAGAACAAAGAGAACGAAGTGCGCAACGATACAGCCTCAACGAATACCGAACGACGCAATACATACTGAACGCCTCAACGGATCAGAACGTTTCTCAACAATGTAAATATTGTACATAAACCCTGTTATTCCTTCTCTTAACGCTATTTAACAGTACATGCGCTTGTAACAGATGAAAAAGACGATGCCTAGCGCAGGTGCTCTCCAAGGTGAGCAACTGCGCTATCCTCTCGCTCTCATCCGTGTCAAATGGAAAAGCAAGAGCGCGCAGGACTTCGCGCGCGGCCTATTCGGATATTTGCAAGTTCCGATGCCCGTTTATGGAACCGAAAGTTACTGGAAGAAAAGGGGTGGAGAAAAATATGCGTAGGCACAAAGCAAAACTTCGATCCAAAGGTGGGTTGCGGAAAAGGGCGTAAACACTGTTTTTTTTTTTTTCACATTGGTTATTTTAAAACAAAACTACAGCTTGCAGCCTTTTATTGCAACATTACAACGCTAATACTTCAATTGAAATTAAGCGTGTTCATTACCCTAAATTATTCAAAACGAAAAGTGATGCAGTGTTTTACTGGCTACTGCGGCTTATACGCGAAAAAACTGTTTAGTCACAATAGTTTCATCGTCATGTATCCTTGAGGCGGTAGTACCACTAGATGAAATCTGTCGGTAAGAGCCACACGCGACATTCAATTATTATTTTATCGATTCCAGCAGACAGATACCTGGGGCAAGTTCGTAGCTCTTTTCATAAAAGAGCGGCTTCCAAATCTAATGTTCTTTGGTCACATATTGGCTTATCTGCATGCAAAATTTCAGTATAGGCATAACATATGGAGAACTATTGTGTTATTCATTATCCAGAAGCTAAATATGCTAAAGACTAAAAATCGTATACGGTCTGGTAAGTACAGTAGGTTGAATACCAGTGTTTGGAGGAGAAAACAACCGTGTTTTATCACCGTAAAAGTAAACCACGCGTAGGAAAATGCTCAGTCTCCTTTAAAGTTTATTGCTAGCGGCTAAGACCAGATGCCAATTAGCTTGAAAACCGATTTTATGCCATTTTCAACGGTAGGAAGGCTGTGTGCACCGCAAACAGGCCTCGTTTATTCTTTCAAATTTTCTTTAAGAGCTTCAGTGTTTTGACGTGTGGACTATCTATGCTATGTTCAGAGGGCTCTTGGGGATTCTGCCAAAAGACGCGACGCGCGGAAAGATACGCTTGCTCTGGAAATGACCCAGCCACTTTTTCAAAACAGTCGGAGTGCCGGCGGCCAGCCCGCGAAGGGTTGCATTCGATGACGTACAGACACCTCGATCACGTATATTGCCGAAAGCGTAGCCCTCAAGAGCTGCGCATATTGTTGAATGTTTTA